TCCAACATTCTTTCATGGAAAAAAATATCCACTCAACAACTAGGAATAGAAGGGAACGTCTTCAGTCTGAAAAGGGCATCTAGAAAAATGCACAGCTAATATCATTATTTAATGGTGAAAGACTGGATATTTCCCCCCTAAGATCAGGAATAAAATGAGCAAGTCCACTTCTCAATACCACACAGGAAGTTCCAGCCAGGGTGATTAAACAAGAAAGAGAAATAAAAGGCATCTAGATAGGAAAGGAAGAAGTCAAATTATCTCTATTTGAACATGATGTAATTTTTGTATATAATAAACCCCAAGGAATCCACAAAAAAGTTATTAGAAGTAATAAGTTTAGCAAGTTTTCCAGACACAAGATCAACATACAGAAACTTATCCTAGGAACAAACAAGCTGAAGGTGGAATCGAGAAGACAATTCCGTTCACAACAGCATCAGAAAGAATAAATGACTTAGAAATACATTTAACAAAAGTAGTAAAAAATACATACTCTGAAATCACACAACTGCTGAAGGAAATTAAAGAAGATCTAAATAAGTAAAAAGACAGCTCATGTTCATGGATTAGAAGATTTGATACTATGAAGATGGCAATACTTCCCCCAAGTGATCTACAGATTCACACAATTCCTATAAAAATCCTAGTTGGCATCTTTTAGCAGAAATTGACAAACTGATCCTAAAATTCAAATAGATATGCAAAGGAGGCAGAGTAGTCAAAACAATTTTGACAAAGGAAAATCACAGGATGCCTGGGTGGCTCGGTTAGTTAAGCATCTGCCTTGGGCTCAGGTCATGACCCCAGGGCCTCGGATAGAGCCCATTGTCAGGCTCCCTGCTCAGCGGGGAGTCTGTTTCTCCCTCTCTCCTCTCTCTGCTCCTCCCTCCTGCTCATCCTCTCTCATTCACTCTCTCAAATAGATAAATAAAATCTTTTTTTTTAAAGGATAATTACTTCCTGATTTTGAAACTTATAACAAAGCTAAGTTATCAGGATAATGTGGCACTGGCTTAATGATAGACATACAGATCACTGAAATAGAATTAAGTAAAAAAAAAAAAATCCTTACATTTATGATGGATTGATTTTGACAGCCCCCCAAGACAATTTAATGGGAAAAGAATAGTCTTTTCAATAAATGGTGCTGGTATAATTGGATATCCATGTGCAAAAGAATGAATTTGGACCTACCTCACACCATATACAAAAATTAACTGAAAGTAAACCAAACATTTAAATATAAGGGCTAGGGCAGCCCCGGTGGCTTAGCGGTTTAGTGCCGCCTTCAGCCCAGTGTGTGATCCTGGACACCTGGGATCAAGTACCACACGTCAGGCTCCCTGCATGGAGCCTGCTTCTCCCTCTGCCTGTGTCTCTGTCTCTCTCTCTCATTCTGTCTCTAATAAATAAAATCTTAAAAAAAAATAAATATAAGGGCTAGAACTATAAGACTTCCAAAAGAAAAGCCAGGTGCAAACCCAGGTTCAGAGTATTCCCTTATAATCTTCATGACTTTGGATTAGGGAACAGTTATCACCAAAGGCATACGTAAATCATATATCTGAGAAGGGTCCAAGTATCTAGAATACCTGAAGAACTTTTTTTTAAAAGATTTTAATTATTTATTTATTCATGAGAGACACACACACACAGAGAAGCAGAGACACAGGCAGAGGGAGAAGCAGGCTCCACACAGGGAGCCCCATGTGGGACTTGATCCCAGGACCCTGGGATCATGCCCTGAGCCAAAGGCAGGCTCTCAACCACTGAGCCACTCAGGGGTCCCTGAAGAACTCTTAAAACTCATTAATTAAAAGACAAATAGCCCAGTGGAAAAATGAGCAAAGGATATGAATACATAGTTCTCCAAAGAAGATATACAAATGACCAATAAGCATATGAAAAGATCTTCAACATCATTAGTTATTAGGGAAATGCAAATCAAAACCTCGAGATACTATTTTTACACCTATTAGGATGGCTAGAATAAAAACACTGGGCAAGAGGCACCTGGGTAGCTTAGTTGGTTGAGTGTCTGCCTTTGGCTCAGGTCATGATCCTGGTGTTGGGGGATTGAGCCCCACATTGGGCTCCCTGCTCAGTAAGGAGTCTACTTCTCCCTCTCCCTCTGCCCCTCCCCTTGCTGATGCTCACTCTCTCTCAAATAAATAAAAAATCTTAAAAAACAAGACAAAAAAAATCAGGCAAGAAAAATTTTTGGTGAGGATGTGGGGAAACTAGAACTCTTACACATTACTGGTGGGGTGTAAAATGATGCAGCCACTGTAGAAAACCATTCATTTGTTCATTTGATTTTAAGTAATCTCTACACCCAATGTGGGGCTCAAACCCACAACCCAAGAACCAGAGTCATGTGCTTCATTGACTGAGCCAACCAGCTGCTCCAGTTCCTTAAACATTTAAAAACATAACATTCACCATCAGACCCTGCAATTCCCCTTAAAGGTATCTATTCAACAGAACTGAAAACATAACTCCAAACAAAAACACACAAATGTTCACAGAAGCTTATACATGGGTACAACCCAAATGTGCATCAACTGATGAATGGATAAACAAAATGTCCGGGCAGCCCAGGTGGCTCAGCGGTTTAGCCAGCCTTCAGCCCAGGGTGTGATCCTGGAGACCTGAGATCGAGTCCCACGTCGGGCTCCCTGCATGGAGCCTGCTTCTCCCTCTACCTGTGTCTCTGCCTCTCTCTCTCAGTCTCTCTCATGAATAAATAAATAAATCCTTAAAAAAAAATGTCCATCCATGGGATGGAATATTATTCAGTGATAAAAAGTAACAAAGTACTGATACAGGCTACAACATGCTATAGTACTTGTAACTGTGATGCTAAATGAAAGGCAGCAAAGAAGGCCACATACTGTACAATTCCATTTATATTTAATAGGTAAATCCAGAAATAGGCAAAGGCATAAACAGAGAAAGGAAATTAATGGCTGACAGAGTTGGGGGTTCTAGAACAAGGAGTGAATACTAATTGGTATGGGTTCTCTTTTTGGGATGATGAGAAAGTTCTGCAACTGGACAGTAGTGACTGTTGCTCAGTTTTATGAATATGCTAAAACCCCCTGAATTATACACTATGAAAAAGGTGAATTAGAACTTTTTTTTTTTTTTAAGTAGGGGCTTGAACTCCCGACTGAAGTTGAGTTGGACACTTAAATGACTGAGCTACCCAGGCACCCCTGAGTTATAATAACTCTTAAAATAATTAATATAAACCTCTTAAAAAAGGAACGTTAGTAATAACGTATCAGAGGGCTCAGGCAGTAAGAGGGTGTCTTGTGTAAAGAGAATTTCAGAATAATGACACAAGCCACACGCTGGCCTGTCACTCCTCATCACTGTGCACCAGCAGGGCTCAGCAATGCCACTGACTACATATGATCCTCTCTGCTGGGTGGCCTGCTCCTGCTGCGCTGCCCTTAGCATACCAGTGCATGCATGGAAGTGAGTGTGCATCCTAATTCATTACATGTGACCTCATGTTTGCACAGGGTTTTCTGACCCACAAAGTGCCATCCCTGGCATTATTCTATGCACTCTCACCTCAATCCCATGAGGGAGGAAGACCCACCAGTGCAGACACGGAGCCTGTCTGTGGATATGACCACTAACCGGCAGCCTGAAAGAACTCTGACCTGACTCTGGGTTCCACTGCAGGGCCCCTCAGCCCACATCCCATGTCTGCTGGGAGGACTGGTGGTCCTCATGACTAGCCCTGTGTCTTGGACCCCGATTCCTGTCACCCTATCCCTGAGGGTTCACAATGTCCAAAATTTAGATGGTCATGAACACAGGCGTTTACCCAAACACTTCATTTCCTGCCAATCTCCATTCAAGCATTTGTTTGTTTGAGGACCAACTGCTCCTGCCCTACTGTCACCCCTGCAGATGGCAACTTCGTTTTTCCCACCAAGGTCACAAAGTAGGGACTAGCAGGAGTTGGAGCAGATAACACTCACAAAATCACAGCCCCCCTCATTATAAATTGTAACAGAAAAGTATCTAGTATAGCAACCAGGCCTATTCAATCTTTAAGGGTAATTAAATAGTGTCCTCAAATCAGGCTTCTGCTATGAATGGTGGAAACAGTCTAGAGAAGAAAAACATTCAGAATACTTGGTGAGCTGAAACATGACAAGGGTGGGGGAGGGCATGGGGGTGGAGGGGACAGGAAACAGAATTTCAACCAACCAGGAAAGGCATTCACAAAAAGATGGCAAGACATGGTCTCCATGGTGAGATTTTTTTTTTTAAGATTTATTTTTATTTACTTATGATAGACACAGAAAGAGAGAGAGAGAGAGAGAGAGAGGCAGAGACACAAGAGGAGGGAGAAGCAGGCTCCATGCCGGGAGCCCGACACGGGACTCGATCCCAGGACTCCAGGATCATGCCCTGGGCAGAAGGCAGGCGCGAAACCGCTGAGCCACCCAGGGATCCCCTCCATGGTGAGATTTTAAGTGACCTTTTATTTCTTCACTATACTTTTGGGTACTGTTTGATTTTATTTTTATTTTTATTTTTATTTTATTTATTTTTAAGTAAGCTCTATGCTTACTTAAAAATAGGGCTTGAATTCATGACCCCGAGATCAAGAGTTGCATGCTCTACTGACCGAGTCAGCCAGGTGCCCGATTTTATTTTTTTAAAAAAATGATGTTCAATTTGTGAAAAGTTAAAATATTTTTATTTTGAGAGGAAAAAAAATCTTAAGTGTTGACTCAGATCATCTTTATATTTTATTTATTTTTCAGATCATCTTTAACAAGGTGTTCAGTTCTAAATTCCACAACTGGGATGCCAGTGAGTAAGCACATGCACCTTGTTCCCGGGACACTTGCCTCTTCCCCCACTTGCTGAGAGGCCTATACAAGCGGGTATGGTCCCGCTTCCAGGAACTGCATCCTCACAGCTTGTCTTACTGAGGAGCAGCTTGGTATCAGTTAAGTTTTGCTTACCTGGACAGGTGGCTCAATCATTATCCAGGCTGGAAGCATCAGACTGGGATTTAGAGGCTGGGTTCCCACTCGGAAGTAAACTCCACCCCTAGAATCACAGGCCCAGATGTGCTGGTTTCCACATGCCAAGCTCGTCAGTTTTATAGCTCCTGTAGATAAAGGAAAAATCCACAAACTAATTACTTTTGTAAAATGACAAATCCTTCATTTAATCTATGGACTTTGATATTATCCTTCAAAGAAAGAGGTGAGGCTGCACTTGTGGCGGACTGTGTTTTATCTGAGGGCAGCGCAGCTCAGAGGTTATTGAGGCCTCTGGCTGCCCTGCCACCTGCCTGGCGCCAGTGGGCATGCTCTCGGGCACCGCCAGCGGAGCAGTCAGGATGCTGGTGGCACGGGCCCTGAGCTGCTAAGCACAGATTAATATCTGCGCGGGCCTCAGCATTAGCTACATCACGTACACGGCTACCAGCAGCAAATTCTGCATCTGGGGGAGGGAACTCCTTTTTATTAGGAATCTTCATCCTGATGAGAATTCATATGAACCAGCTAAGTCTCCTAGAATCTTCATGTTTCTCTTCACATTTCTCCTGGTTGATTAAATCAATTGTAAGAGAAAAGGAAATGTGTGGGGGCTTTGAAGAGAAATTACACTCGATTACTAGTCTACCTGCAAGAAGAGCACCGGTAGTCACAGAGAAGCTGCCGTGGGGCAGGGTGCAGCTCAGTCTGATAGCCTCACTTCAAAACCTGCAATAGTGATGCATGGTGACTCTGATCTCAGGTCACACACGAGGCTGTCGGGACACAGATATGGAGAGACTTGCCCAAGGTCCCAGGGCAAGGATGCGGCAAAGCCAGGAGGCAAAGGTCTGAAACCAGGCCAGCTCAACTCTTCCACACCAGCTATCTGCCCTCTGGGACACTGGTGAAGGCTCAGATGGGACGTGTTCAGTTCAGTTGGTTTTGACAGATAAATATACCCATGTCACCCATGTCCTGTCAAGTTACAGAACATTTTCATCACCCCAGGAAGTTCCCTCGGGCCCCTTCGAGTCAGTCCCCTTGGTCCCAAGGCACCCACTCCTTACTTCTGTCGTCATGAGTTAGGGCAGCCTGGTCTAGAGGTCCAAATAAGCAATCATGGGCCTGAACTCTTTTGGGGTCTGGCTTCAGTCACCCAGTGGAACCATGTTGCTTCATGTTGCTGAGCGTTACTCCACTGCATGCCTATAACTCCGTTTATCCAACAACTTGATGATGGACATTTAGTCACGCCCGCTTCTTGTGATCAGGAGTAAAGCTGCTATGGATGACTTTTTTGTGAACCTGTGTTATCTTTCTTGAATGGTACCTGGAAGTGAAAGTGCAGGGCCATGGGGTAGATGTACATTTGCCATTCTGCATGCCCACCAGCTGTGCACGCTGGCTGCCCACAGCCTCACCAGCACCTGGTCTTGGCACCATTCTAGTAGGTGTGAAGAGATATCTCATCATGGTTTTAATTTGCATTTCCCTGGTAACTAATGGTGCTGAGAATCTTTTAATGTGCTTATGGGGCACAACGTGCTTATAGGGTCTATCTTCTTTTGTGAAGTGCCTATTCAAGTCTTTTGCCCATTTTTCAAATTGAACAGTTTGTCTTTTGATGACTGGGTTAGAGGATTTCTTTGTATATTCTGGATCCAAGTCCTTTGTCAGATATACACATTGTGCATCTTTCTTCCCAGTCTGTGGCTTGCCTTTTCATTTTCTTGACTGTTTTCTGCTGAGTTTGTCATTTTGATGGGTCATTTTTTTTTAAAAGATTTTATTCATTTATTCATGAGACAGAGAGAGGGGTGTGGCAGGGAGACAGGCAGAGCGAGAAGCAGGCTTCATGCAAGGAGCCTGACATGGGACTTGATCCTGGAACTCCAGGATCACGCCCTGGGCTGAAGGCAGGCGCCAAACCGCTAAGCCACCCACAGATCCCCCTTGATGGGTCATTTTGACTTAAAAACTGTGGGGAAGAAGGTGGTACAGCCACGTTCTGTGGTCATGCTCCTGTTGGCCAGCTCACACCTGTCGTTGGTAGCAGAGGGCAGCCCAAAAATCTGCACTGAAGTACAAGCATGGATCCTGCTAGGTGGAAGTCTTGTCAGGTGCCTTCAGTTATGACACCAGCTGAAAAGTATTAACTGACCATCACATAAAAAATCCTCGGTATCCTTTTGTGTATATGTTTTTTTTTAATATTTTTTTTTAAATTTTATTTATTTATGATAGGCACACAGTGAGAGAGAGAATGGCAGAGACACAGGCAGAGGGAGAAGCAGGCTCCATGCACCGAGAGCCCGACGTGGGATTCGATCCCGGGTCTCCAGGATCGTGCCCTGGGCCAAAGGCAGGCGCCAAACCGCTGCACCACCCAGGGATCCCCCTTTTGTGTATATGTTGAAGTTAACTGTAGTTTCTTCTTCCTTAATCTTTTATAGAATATCTTACCCGAGAGTTCAAATGGACTTCTAGAGCTCTAACATGACACAGTAGAAGATTTGTACCAATCGAAATACAGTTCCTTCAGCCGTAAATCACAGAAATAGCCGAGAAACAAACATTAATTTAAAAATGTTAAGTGGGGCAGCCCAGGTGGCTCAGTGGTTTAGCACCGCTTTCAGCCCAGGGTGTGATCCTGGAGTCCCAGGATCGAGTCCCACCTCGGGCTCCCTGCATGGAGCCTGCTTCTCCCTCTGCCTGTGTCTCTGCCTCTCTCTCTCTCTCTGTGTGTCTCTCATGAATAAGTACATAAAATCTTTAAAAAAAATGTTAAATGAAAATTAATTTTATGCTGGAGTCTTCAACTTGCCCTTATAGGAGCAAGTTGGACTTGCACTCCAGGCAGTGGCGATGGTGAGAAAAGTTCCATGGTGACAGAGACACACCAGGCCAGCAGCTCCATTAGCAGTGCCTAACAACACCGCCACCAGAACACATCGTTCAAGTTACAGGAATATTCTTTCAGGACAAAAGTAAAGGCTACTAGAATATACAAGTCAGTATAGATGATAGCTTATTCTGAACTGAAGACACAGGTCAAAAAAAAACATTTACCTGAAGGCTCTTCTGCATTGTCCTTCCTCACAGAGCGCCCCTCCCCCGCCCCCTGCCGGAGTACAGTATATGAGACTGTATTGGCTGAGATGGTCAGGACAGGGGCAGAGACTCCTGCCCTCCCCAAACATTCCAGGCTTCTCCGGGGTCCCTGCAAGTTAGGTGGGGCCCCGTCGTTAGTCCGGACAATGGGCTGTAGGCAGAAGCAATCTGCCACTTTTGAACTGAAGCATAAAGAGCTGGCAAGGGGTCTTTCAGCTGTCCCCTGCTGTAGTGACAAGAGACGGAAGCCACAGAGCACAGCAGCGGCACCAGCAAGCTGCCGCCCAGTGGACACAATTCTAAGAGACTGAGAGCCAAAGGTAGAGAGCCAACTCTGTGGCACTGGGGAAGCAACACTCATTGTGGTAAGTCGCTGATATTTCGGGACCGCTACTACATTACCAGCCCGATGAACACAGACACACTACAATTTTCCTGCCTTTCCCTGTTTTGTTTTTTCTATTAAAAAAAAGGTTTTAATTACTTTTTTCAACAGAGGAGACATTTCCCCTTTAGGATTACTTTTGGTTTTTTATTTTTTTTCTAAAGATTTATTTATTTATGATAGACATAGAGAGAGAGAGAGGCAGAGACACAAGAGGAGGGAGAAGCAGGCTCCATGCCGGAAGCCTGACGCGGGACTCGATCCTGGGACTCCAGGATCGCACCCCGGGCCAAAGGGAGATGCTAAACTGCTGAGCCACCCAGGGATCCCCTAGGATTACTTTTTTTTTTTTTTTTAAGATTTTTATTTATTCATTCATGAGAGACACAGAGAGAGAAAGGCAGAGACACAGGCAGAGGGAGAAGCAGGCTCCACACACAGAGCCCGACGTGGGACTCGATCCAGGACTCCAGGATCATGCCCCGGGGCCAAAGGCAGGCGCTAAACCGCTGAGCCACCCAAGGATCCCCCGGATTACTTTTAAACATATATTTTAGAACAAAAAGTAACATTTATTTGGTGTTTTAGGATTTATTAAACAATTTTCTGCATAATTTACTGCTACCATAATCCTATTTGTTACCTACCTAAAGGCAAAAACTGACACTAAATATTTCCTCATTAAATGTGACCAGATGAATTAAATTACAAAATTGCATTCGTTTGCTAAACATTCCAATGCCTGACAGCACACATATTAATGGGAAATGAAATGCTATCAGCATTTTAAATATCTGCTAAACGGTGCAAATTTTCTTCCCAAAACCAGGATTATAATAAATCACAAATTTCCATATTCAGTCTCTAAAACTGGGTTCAGTAGCCAGACATTTAAGAATTCTCTTCATCTCAAAGCAGCAATCGATTTGGTAATTTGAGTAGAGGCAGAAAAGAGTGACATTAGGTCTTAAGAAAGAAATTAAAGGTAGAAATCACAATCATGGGGCAGCCCAGGTGGCTCAGGGGTTTAGTGCTGCCTTCGGCCCAGGGTGTGATCCTGGAGACCTGGGATTGAGTCCCACATCAGGCTTCCTACATGGAGCCTGCTTCTCCCTCTGCCTGTGTCTTTGCCTCTTTCTCTCTCTCATGAATTTAAAAAAAAAAAAAAATCACATTCATGACTTGATACTTTGCTAAAGTCATCCCTGAAACCGAAATTTCTGCTTGCAATGTGCAAGCTGGTGACATTCCCAACTTTACAATCACCTGGCACTACCATCAGGAGGTGGGCCGCATCACACTGTCAGCACCCACAGGACAGGGTTTCATTTTTCATGTTCGTAATGTCAGAAAACTCGTAAAGAAGAGGCCAGGACTGAAGATAAGAGCACAGATATATCACATCCCTGAACAAGCTGGTGGCAACGTAGAGGTGGAGCAGCTACTTACCGCTCTTGAATCTGCCTGTTAGGCAGTTTTATTAGTGATTATCAATATCGAGGCCAAAGACAGGATCAAAACTCATATCCCAGAATTACTTAGAAATGGCAGTTACCAGTAATAACCACCTTCCCTGATGGTCTAATGTCCCTCTGGGCATGGATATGGAGAGCAAGTGGTCCCCCTCTGTGTGCAGACCCCGCTCAAGGTCAGACTATGAGGGCCACTGAAACAGAGCAGGGGCAAAGCACTCAGGGCACATGGTGGGCAGACGTCAAGGGAATGAGAACTGAAGGAAGCCGGTGGTGGGGTAGAGGCCGGAAGGAAGAAGAGCTGGGGAAGGAGGACATTCTAGGCCACGGCAAGACAAGCACGCACTATGCCAGGAGGACGTTCTAGGCCGCGGCAAGACAAGCATGCACTATGCACAAAGGGGCCTGGCACAAGGGGCAGAGCCATGGCTGGTGGGCCTGCTGTGATGGCCCTGGGCACCACCCTGAAGCTGGTGCGATGTGGAGCCCTTTCACATTGAGGGCACACCCCTGCTGTTTTAGGAAGACAGATCTGGCGACCACGGGGGAGGTGGGCCCACCTGGTGCCATGAAGTGGCTCGTGCAGTAGGTCACTACACTTTCTATTCACTACTATTTGGTGCCTGCTGCCTGATGACAACCTGCCATGGACACTCACATGTGGGGCTCTGGGCAGGGAGCACACAGCTGAACTTAAAATCTGTATTCCTGCATTTAAATAATAATTTAAGAAAACCACCGGATTCACCTGTTTGTCCCATAGGCTACAAAGCTCATCTCGGAGAGGGCCCAATAACACAAGGCCTGGTGGTGCCTGCCTGCCTTTTACTGCTCCGGACCCTGGGACAGTGGGAGACCAGTATCTTTCACATGACCTCCTACCCGCCTCTTCTGCCCCAACATGAAACCTACCAACTCAGGACATGCTGCATTCTCCTACATTTAGAAAATGGTAAAAGATCATTTATCCATCATTTCAGTGTCTGCTAGCAACCCAGATAAATAAACAAAACCTAGAGCTCATAAAGGCAGTGTTTCCCACCAACACCCAATCAGGCACCTGGTGAGACAGCCCCCGTGAGCCTGGAGAGCAATGCAGCTAACGCTGGCTCGATAGGGACCCCGCACAGGACACTTGCCCAAGAAGCTCATGTTTACACAGGATGCTTCCTTGCATCATCTCTCTGTGCTGGGGACCGTTGTTCCCATTAGGAAGGTGAGAAATTAAGGTTTACAGGGAACCCAGCAGCTCACCCAGGATCCTGGAACCTGCCTAGGATCAGGTCTCTTAAACCAAGCCTTCATCCCACCAAAGCTGACTTTCTCTCCTGGAAAGGATGGCCACCACCCCAGTGAAGCCCAAATGGGCACATCAGAGACCTGCAGTAGTCTAGCCAGCTAGCCAGTGCTGGGAGGGCTGCACTGATCTGGAAGGGAGATGGGAGCTGTGGACCCCGGGCAGAGGTGGTTCTGGCACCGTGCAGCCCGGATAACACCACTCACTCTGTGTCCATGGAGCTCAGTGGTGTCCTCTGAAGGACGTGGAGGGAACAGCGCAGGGAAATAGCTCTGCCCCTCACCCAGACTGTGCAGAAGAGCAAGCCTCCCAGTTCTCCAGGTTTGGTGGTGGGAGGCCTGGCCTTCCGACCTCCAGGAGAAACTGGCAACATCTCCCAAACTGGTCTGGTTGCTGCTCAGGCCAGTAGATCTCTGGATGGTGGCAGGCTTCCTAGGGCAGGCAGGAGGGTCCCATGTCACCAGCACTCAGGGCCATGAGCAGCCCCAGCTTTGTCCAGTCAGTCACCATCAGTAACGGTGGCTGGTAAATACTCTCCAAAGCCAGAACATGACAGCCCTGGTGCCGGGATTAGGGTCAAAAGACAGGGTATGAGGTCAAAAGCATAAGTCACCAAAATAACCCTGAAAAATTCAAATTTTTAGTATATGTGCTGCCGAACTGAGCATGGCCCTGGAACATTCCCAGCTTTGGAACAGTTTGCTTCTTCAGTTGAGAGCCAGTCTGCCTCTTATTTAAGGTGGACTATATCTGGTCTCGTGCTGGACAAGGGAATAATGATCTCTCTATATAGCACCTTGCAGGAGTCACATGAGCTGAGAGCAGATGGGGCCCAGTCTATTTCATGGGATGGTGAGAGGTCCCTGGCAGCTGGAGATGCAGTCACAGGCATTCGTACATACACATTTTTAAAGATTTTACTTATTTGAGAGTGAGAGAATGCATGCAAGAGAGAACAAGCACGAATGGGGGCAGGAGCAGAGGGAGAGGGAGAAGCAGGCTCCCCGTTGAGCAGGAAGCCCCATGCAGGGCTGATCCCAGGAGCCCGGGATCATGACCTGAGCTGAAGGCAGATGCTTAACCAGCTGAGCCCCCCAGGCACCTGCATGTATATGTGTGTGCGCACACACACGTAAACTCTAAACCTAATGCAGGTCTCAAATTTAGGACTCAGAGATTAAGAGTCACATACTCTACTGACTGAGCCAGTCAGGTGCCGCCTCCACTTTTCTCTCCTTCTCTAATGAGTAGGTGTGCTTGAATCCTTAAACATTAAATGCTAGTAGAATTCAACCTTACAACCTACCAAACAAAAAACACTGGTTGTCCGTTTACCGAAACAGGAACCTGTATGGCAGGGGAGTAGTCCTAAGGCTCCAGTGGACCTTCTGGAGCCGCCTCTGCCTTTAGACAAGTCTCTGCTGTCAGACAAGTCACACAGAAGGATTTGCCTGGAGAATAACCCAATGTTGCGGGCCCACTCTGATACCTTGTTTCTTAGAACACAAATGAATAATTTATAAACGGCATCATGCTCCTTGGCTGGCTCTGGGACCCTGGACAGGAGACTCAGAGAAGAGCCAGAGACGTACATCATCTCCTCAGACCGCTCGAGGAGGAACAGATGCCAGTCCGCTGGGCACTGTTCCAGCTGCAGAGGGACAGGTAAATGGGTGCTGATGCGGGACACACCTGTTCTTCCAGACTTAAAGGGCACAAAGAAATGTGCCATATTGTCAGGCTGGCAGAGCAGCTGCATCAGGCAGTTCTAGTGGCAACTTCCGCTGAGTGTGTGATCTTCCTGGGCTCTGGGAGCCCTATGAACTGTACGAGGTAGGGAAGTAAAGCTCCTCATAAGTCAGAGGCCCATTTAATCCGGGCTGGCTGATCAATCTCCTGAATTTATACAACACAAGTTGAACCCAGGGGCCATACCTAGCTGGGAAAGGTCCAGCCGCGTCCAATGCATGCCTGTGGGGCAGCTCTTGGAGAGCGTCCTGATGAACACCTGGCCAAGGCTGTCCAGGGCCCACAGGGCATCCTGGCAGGCGGCGTATGCCCTCATCTCCACGTCGGGAGGCAGCTGCACCGTGGAGGGGCGGGACTGGGCATTCTGGGCGCTGACACTGCACAGGTCCTTGCTGCTCTGGCACAGCCACAAGGAGCTTCCTGCGGAAAAGGTTCATGTTTGTTACTGACGAGACGCACAAGGCAGTTGTGGCCTTTGGGCAGCTGACACTTGATGGCAGACGCCACCACTCCTGGCTCCCAGGGCGCTACTGTGCAGGCTTGATAGACCTTAAGCCAGAAGTCAGAGGTGCACCCATGACCAGCAAGTTAAAAAATAAGCCTGAGGTGTTCTAAAGGGAGGAAAGAAAGTAGGGCTTATGAGATTTGGTGAAGGCTATGGTCTTGGCTCAGTGGCTCTGACCTTGGACGATTCGTAAGGGTTGGGGAGTCTTTGACTTGGTGTGACCATTGCTCTGGAGGAAGTGAGGTCAGCAATTCCTTGGAAGGATGGGTCTACAGTTCCCCTGTTCTGGTCTGGGGGGAGGGGTCAGGCTGTCGGGGGGGCCTGGAGAGCTAGAAAACCTCCTCTCCTCACCCTCTCCTCAAAATCCACTCTCTCTTCCTCCCATCATTTTTATGGTCTTAACAGATTAAGTTTTAAAATGCAGATAAACTCCGGGAAAGTTAATGTCTCCATCATAATATATTATTCACTAAAACTTGTGGCCAGCTAGGTTTTAGAATTCAAAACTGTTTTGGATTTTGAAAACCTAAGGTAAGGGGTATGCCATATATTTAAGTAATAGCCTCAGGGAGCCAGGCAGCAATGAAATGCAGTAACATTCCTGCCACAGAATGTGTGCACACTCATAATCAATGGATAAATAAGTAGCCCCACATTGGTTCAAGCCAGGTTTTGCTGCCAAATGATTTTGTGTCAATCTCAGGATATAACCTACGGTTTTCAAAGCTTACAGATGTCAGAATTATGGGTAGAATGATCAGGTGAGTAAACATCTTCCCGTACTGACAAGTTAGCCAAATCTCGGTGGGACTAATGGCTTGAACTAACCAGGTGCTTCCTCTGAACCACAGGCTTCATGGCATCTTCTCATCTGACCCTCAGGGCAAAGCTAGGAGGAGCCTTCAGCCACCCCTCAGAGGGATCACCTGGCTGCCCAGGCTCCCAGCTCACTGGTAGCTGCACTGCTTCTCCGGCTCCAAACCCCATGCTCCAGGAAGGGAGTTGAGCTCTGATTGGAGCCAACGGGAAGTCTGCCCCTATAGACCTGTCCTAACAGGGCACAGCTGTGGGGCTCAGACTGAGCCAGAATCTGCAAACCAGATTCAAAGAGGCTGTTAGGAGGTGATGGAAAACTTCACGAGGGGAAATGGAGAGGCACCCCAAGAACCCTGGTGCCTACTGACTGCAGTGCTATGGCCCTGTGACATGTCACTGGACATCTCCAACTGCCGGCCCTAGTGGGACACTGTATGTTCCTCTTCTTCGCAATGACGCCCTGCCTTTATACTCATTCAACACCCACACACCAGAGCCTTCTTTCTTGGTCAGGCCTATCCAGCTTGGAGGCTTTGGCTCAGCCAACAAGGGCTGCCTGCCTGGGAAGCCACTGCATTGTCTCTGAGGTCCACATAGCCACGCCCGGTCCCAACTAGGTCATGGTCAGACCATGGTTTTCACTTTTCAACTGCCAATTATGCATTGTATTTCTCAACTAACCTTCTTTTGTGGGAGCAGTGGAAGCCAGCACAAAGGCCCACTTTGTTGCAGAAGCTGTCCCACGGGGAACAACATTATTCCAGTAAGTGCCTAGAAAGAACCAATAGGAAGTGTGTTAAAGAAAGAAGAGGAGAACACACACACACACACTCCAGAGCATTAGTTCTATACTACAACTTGTCTCCAAAACCTCTGATAGCTCATTCTAGAGTGCCCTTAAATTAGGAGGTCCACGCCAGCCAGTGCTATGAGGCCAGTCCCTTGTTTCTCCTTCCACGCTGACAAGCAGAGCCACAGTCTTGTCCAGGGTGTGGGGCAGGGGCTGGGGGGTTGTGCAGAGGGAGAAGAGCTGGAAAAATTCACAAAGCAAGGCTTCACTCATAAAAACAAAGCCCTCATGGGTACCTGTGGATTTACACCACCAGTTATAGATTCCCAGAGCCTTGCATTCTCCACAGAGCAAGAACTTTTCATCTCGGAAACGGGACTATTGCCTCTTACTGTGCTCTTTACATTTGGGTGGACATTTTCTTCTTTCTTTCTTTTTTTTTTTTTTTTTTAAAGAGTTTATTTACTTATACATGAGAGACAGAGAGATAGGCAGAGTCACAGGCAGAGGGAGAAGCAGGCTCCTTGAGGGGAGCCCAATGTGGGCCTCGATCCTGGGACTCTGAGATCATGCCCTGAGCTAAAGGCAGATGCTCAGCCACTGAGCCATCAAGGTGTTCCTGGGTGGACTTTTTCATTTAAATGTGAAATTATTGGGATCCCTGGGTAGTTCAGCGGTTTAGTGCCTGCCTTCGGCCCAGGGCGTGATCCTGGAGTCCCAGGATTGAGTCCCACATCAGGCTCCCTGCATGGAGCCTGCTTCTGCCTCTGCCTGTGTCTCTGCCTCTCTCTCTCTCTCTGTGTGTGTCTCTCATGAATAAATAAAATCTTAAAAAAAAAAGTGAAATTATGAACATAAAAATGAGCTCCATCTGCCTTTCCTAGATCATCATGGATTCCCAGTAGAAACTGGTCACACACCATCCAAACACGGGTACCCAAGTTGTAGGAATGACGGACTGAAAACAAGGAAACTGCTACAAAACAAAAAGAATGCCTCCATTACAAACACTTCACACACTGGCACCAAATTATCCTCTACAGCTGAGATCTTAAAGCTTTTCTTTCAGTGCTGGCTTTAAACTGAAGCTGCCAATCAAGTCAATGTGAAAAGAAAGGTAGTGCACCCACCGATGAGATTTCCTTTAGCGACGTGGAATTCATTCTTGCCGGAGGAGATCCAGACACCACTGTTGTTTACCCCGAGAAGGCTCGGCTGGCACTGAAGCTGCTGAGACCAAAATGCCATGCGCAGCTTATCTGCCACCTTTTCCACGGGCACTTGTGCTGCCGTGGCCACCGAGTGTGTGGCATGGATTATGGTCTGGAATAAGCTGCACTGGTCAAACACCACGTAGTCTGTGATGCTCACCTGGAGGGGGGGACAGAAAGACATCCTTCTCTCAGTGCAGCGGTGCTGCCTTCTGCACGTGCGCTGCCCGAGAGCTGAGGTTTGGCCCACATCCGGCAAACACTCAGCACACATGTGCACCTGCGCATTTGTGTAAGAACCAAATAAAGTCTGGAGGGAGACTACTGAACCAGTGACTGCAATTACTTCTGAGGGATTTGGAGGGATGGAAGAAAATGTTCATCTTTTGTTTCAGATGCTTTTATATGACACAGATCTGTTACAACAGTATGTACTGTTGTGACCACCCCCTCAGACCTGTGATGCCTTTTATTCTAATCAGCGATAAAGGGTCGTTTTGCTTTTATTTTTTATTTATTTTTTAAAAGATTTATTTATTTATTTATTTATTTATTTATTTATTTATTTATTTATTTATTTATTTATTTATTTATTTATTCATAGAGACACACACACACAGAGGCAGAGACACAGGCAGAGGGAGAAGCAGGCACCTATGCAGAGAGCCTGACATGGGACTCGATCCAGGGTCTCCAGGACCACGTCCTAGGCTGCAGGCGGTGCTAAACCGCTGTGCCACTGGGGCTGCCCGGGTCGTTTTGCTTTTAAATTTAGGTATCTCCAATGGACAACAGTGTGCAATCCTTAGAATCATAATATGGGTTAAAAAAAGTATTGTAAGCAGGGTGATGGAAGCACTTTCTGATCTGAACCAGGACTGTCAACAATTCCGCCAGAGCAACAGCATGAAGCAGGACCGTCCTACACATGAGGGGCACACTCTGCTCACACTTGCAAACTGCTTCTCTAACATTCCTGAATTTCTTTCGGGGCAACCCTGAGGAGAACCTCACTCTTATCAAGCAGCTCTAGCTGTTAGAAAGTTCTTTCTGGGCACCCTGAGTGGCTCAGCAGTTTAGTATCGCCTTCGGCCCAGGGTGTGATCCTGGAGTCCTGGGATCGAGTCCCATGTCGGGCTGCTTGCATGGAGTCTCTTCCTCTGCCTGTGTCTCTGCCTCTCTCTCTCTCTCTCTCTCTCTCTCTCTCTCTCTGTCTCTCATGAATGAATAAATAAAATCTTAAAAAAAAAAAAAAGAGGGCATCCCGGGCGGCTTAGCGGTTTTGTGCTGCCTTCCGCCAGGAAGTGATCCTGGAGACCCGGGATCAAGACCCACGTCGGGCTCCCTGCATGGAGCCTGCTTCTCTCTCTGCCTGTGTCTCTGCCTCTCTCTTTCTCTCTAATAAATAAATTAAAAATCTTAAAAAATAAAAAGAGTGTTCTTTCTAAGATGGTCAAAATCTAATTCCACGTGACTTCCACATATACTTCTGCCCTGTTGGGTTTGACTATAGAGAATGTGGTGCCCTGAATCCTAGGACAGCCTTGTGTAGGCCGCGTTCCCAGGTCTCACACAAGGAGACGCTGAGTGAAAGACACATCATTTATTATAGGGAACTTAATTATAATAAACAAAAACAAATGAAAAGGAAATTATTGTAAAAGCCAGTACTTTGTAAGTGTACAAATATTCCCTTTTCCATCCATGAAAGGACTCGCATTAACTGCAAACCACCGGCCTAATGAAAGTTTTTTTTTTTTTTAATTTTTTTTTTAATGATAGTCACAGAGAGAGAGAGGCAGAGAGGCAGAGACACAGGCAGAGGGAGAAGCAGGCTCCATGCACCGGGAGCCCGACGTGGGACTCAATCCCGGGTCTCCAGGATCGCGCCCTGGGCCAAAGGCAGGCACCAAACCGCTCCACCACCCAGGGATCCCCCTAACGAAAGTTTAAGTGAAGTGCTTTACCACGTCAGAACCCCATGGCCCCGTGCCCATGTCAGTGAGCACTCTGCCAGCGCACAGGACATGGGGCACGAAGCTCTGGAGCTCACCATGCAGGCTGCTGTGTGCCGGCCCAAGGAGCTCTGCTCCTCCTCAGGAGCATGCCCATGCCAAGGCCACACAGAAAGTCTGTGGCAGCCTACCTTAGCACCCAACACTTACAGATAAGTAGGATGCAAATTAAAAAAAAAAAAAGGTTTAGCAGCCAAACATAAGGCTGACTCTGGTACTACAGAGAAAGTCTTATGATATTAAAATAATTCTGCTTCCAAATACGTCACAGATGATTCTGTCAAATTAAATTTCTCTAAAGGTAATGTTCTGAATAAGTTGATAAACTGGTAAATAATTTCTTTAGGTTACTTAAAAATGGAACTTGGTACATATATACACGTGTGTGTGTATGCATGTGTGCAAAACCATATAATATGCTTACCAGCATGGAGAAGGTACTTGTACAACTTTTCAAAGAATATCAGACGTATCAGAGACCTGTGTACACATATGCTTACTGATCAGAGAGCAAACACAAGCTTCTTTTCCCACACTCTCATCCGATAGACTCAAGGGCGGCTATTGAACGACCTGCCCCCAGCATGGTGAGTCTGTAGCAACAACCTGACCTGAGCCAGTGGAGACAACCAATGAAGAGACGCTGCCTAGGTCCTAGCTGCTGAGGGTCAGAACCACCTCACTGCCACAGCAGGGGTTGGGGGGACAGCTATGATGAACAATACCAAAGAGAAGAAGGAACAATGCCTTGGAAAACACGTTCTAGGCCACCCCAGACATCTTGAAAAGTGAGCTTGCTTACACCCTTCTATTACACAGACTGCTTCCTTTTCTGGGAGCGTGTGGGAACATTCTCCTTTCTTTGTTGAAATGCCACTTGCTTAGAGGCCTTTGGAACAAGTGGGGAGAGATGAATTTTAATTGTAGGCTGGGTTTCCAAACCTGCTAGCTCGTTGTAGCCCATGTGTTCAGAATTAAACACCATTATTACCTAGGTCTTCAAAAGGATATCACTGGGCTTATTTGGCACGTAAAGATAACTATTTAATACCAAAACAAAAACAGGAATAATAAACATAACCTGTACATTTAAGCAAAGAGAGTTTTACAAGTTACTTCCTACAACGAAAAGCCCTGGATATTTCTAATGTGCTCAAATACAGCAAAGTCTAACTCATCAAAAAATGAATGTTCTTTATTTAATCCAACCTCCTCAATCTCTTTAAGGAGAAGAGAAGGGCTATAAAAAGGGGAGCAGAGCTCCCACCTCAGAGAGACCCCCTGGCCAGTGGCCCTGGAACTGAGCACCTACTTGCCACCAATGGTCATCATCTCCCTGGGGCTTCTTGGAAACGATGCCAGTTCTGAACCACAGGTTCCCTCGGATGTCCAGGGCCCACAGAGTCTGCTGGTCCCCGAGAGTTATACAGACGGGTTCCAAAGCTTGCTTTTCACTGGAAACAGGGAAGAGAACAGGGGAGTCAGCGCCCACACACAAAGCACCCAGCCTGACAAGGAACGCCAGCTTTGGGTGTCCAAAGGACGCTCCAAGGAAGGACACTTGAGTTTTGAGTTACGTTACTCTGCAGCGTATGTTGTTTAAATGTGCGGCAGCTTCTGAAAGATACTGAAGACCCGGCATGGTAGGGAAAGCTCTTGGGAGAAAATTACCTACAAGAAAAGTATGTGGGCACCTAAGGCACCTCTGCCTCATTGCTCCCTCCTGTACAATCAAAACCAAGCAAATGGAGACGCCTCTGCTCCACCCGTGGACTGGGCTGTGTTGGGCAGCAGCAGCTGGGCAAATTGTGTTTCCCCTGGGGCAGTGCCCTTCCCCTTCCTGTCCCTCTGGTAAAGTTCTTGCCAGTGTCAAGGCTCAGCTGGGCTGCACTCTCTGGTTTAAGACCGTCTATGCTAACTGGCACCAGATAGTTACGTGGCTCCTGCTCTGGGGGAGGGCAGGGCTGGGGACAGCCACCTTTGCACATCCAGCCCAGCCCTGCTGTGGCTCACAGTAGCTACTTTTGCTCAAGCTGACTGGGTTTCTAGCTTCAAACCAAGAAGATCCTAGCCTAATTTTTCTAATCAGCAAAATGATTTGATGGTAATTCTATAATTGAAATTTTGAGTGATATAAGTAACCAAATAAATTACAACTCAGAGATCAAGTCCCATTGACTAGGATGATAATAAAGAAAGAGATCTGGCCCTAAACCATTGAGATTCTACACAGAAACCACCAGACGGCACTGGGTAGTAGTGAACAGAAACTGCCGTGAGAGGCTCATGATTGTGTGATACTACAGGTTACACAAGAGGGCACCAGCATTTCAAAAAGCTGAGCTATAACCCAACATCCAATCTGCCAGTCAGAGGCAGGCACAGGGCGTCTCCATGGTCAGGCTGCTACACTGACTCTGACAATTCCAGAGATCATTATTACCATGGAGAGCTTCAGAGAAGCAGCTTTGCCCAGGAAAGGCTCCCATGGGTGCGTTAAGGGGAGACAAGCTGACAAAGAACCAAGGGCGGGACAAGCAAGATGATGAAGATGTCTCTGCTCCTCCTGCTGATACCTGACGATGTCACATTTCCACTGCTCCCCTTCAGGGCAGAAGCTGCTCACGCCCTCCCGGTACAGGAGGGCTCTCTGCTCTGTCAGTGCCCACACCACGCTGTTTCTGGCTGTGACCTGGGACAGTGGGTATGGACAGTCGACCTTTACGGCTCTGGCACAGGGGCGATCCACACTGAGACCTGCCAGGGAGACAGACAGGAAGCCCCCAAAGACATATAATCAGGGTTTCACACCTCATTTGTATTCTGTTGTTTGCTTATTTTTCTGTTTTTGGTATTTTTCCATATTCTTTTGAAATAAGTATTTTGTCTTTTTAAGGTCTAGTCAACAAAAAAAGTTAAGTTTGTGCTTCAGTATGGCATATCTGAAATGTTTTCATATGTTCTTTGAAAGCTGACGGAATAACAATTCAGAATCCTCTGGTATCCCAAAGTATCTTAAGATGTTCTGAAAGAACAAGAAATCCCAGGGCAGAGAGCAGCCAGCCCTGAGCCAAGAGAGCCCAGGCGAGAACAGCACTGTTCAGAGATGCCCTCCATCTCTGTGCCCCTCAGAGACTCAGGGTGAGCAGAGCTGCCGTAGAAGCTGCGGGCAAGGCAGGGATCTGAGGCCTCCAGGCATCCTCCACAAGCAGCTCCGACAAAGCAGCTGCCCTCTCCCGCTCCTACCTGGTTTTGGGGGTGGTTCCCTAGATGAAAGGCAAGGTTCATCCTACAGTAAGGCTATGGCAGGGCCAGAGCTCAGCGTCCCTGGCTCCTCATCTGGGGCTCTTTCCCCCACCTCCTTGCAGCCTGTCTATAGCTTGAAGGTGCCTGGGGAAGCTGGCGGAATGGCCGTTACCTTAAACCTTACCCTCTGTGGCATTAGCTGCAACTGTAGTTGCACAATCTCAATGCTCAGATGTGCCCCGTGCCTGCTCACAGAAGTACCCTATGGTACCACATCCTTGGCTGTATTCTTCACCTTCAACCAAGGGGAGTCACCTGTAGGCTTCTCATGCTACAAATTGCCAGGCCAGCCGGGGAGACTAACACAGTAGGTCTTGGAGCTACTGGTTAACAGGGCACCTGCTCCTCAATCCCAGGCCAGAAGCATTCTGCTTCCTCACCAGGAACAAAACTCAAATGCCCCTGGAAACCGGATATGCATCTGCCTTTCCAGAGCTATTCCCACTTGAAGGGAGAGAGCAGAGCAGGCACATGGCCCAGGAGCTGGCGAGGCTGGCCACCAAGGCTCAAGCAGTGGCTTCTAGGAGATGCTGGCCCTCCCACACGTGAGAAAGAGCCAGATGTGCAAAGATGTTCAATCTCGGGGAATCATCCCTGGCTGACAGTTCATAACAGAGATTAAAACATTCTCTCCACATCAGCGATATTAAATGGTTAGAAGACTGATCTTTACGTAAATCCAATATGGCCTCTTAACCGAAAAAGAGCTCCCGCCATACTCTTTCCAGGTGCTGATAAATCACATTGCCTTTGGAAATTCATATCCCATTTTGCTGACAGTACATAAACACTCACTCTCATTACAGTTTATTTTATTTTATTTTTTTGCGGTTTATTTTTAATAAACAAGTCCCACTGAATCTCCTTCAGCAGTGGAAGGTTCCCCTCAGGGCAGTTTATTAGGACGAGTTGAGCTGCTCCTTAGGTCAAATGATTTCTTGTTGTTTCTCCCTGATCCATATGTAAGTAAATATACAGAAGCAGGACTTTGACCTGGCTGAAAAAAATCCAGTCATAACCTAAAGGGAAACATTCTAATGTCATTTCCCTGTTATTCTTATCCCCTAACATCCGACACTGCAGCATAAGTGACAGGCAACGGCTAGCCATAAGGAGAGTGAAAATCTGTTTCTGTAGCTCACCAAATAATCCTATGAAGTCTTGCCCTAAACTTGTTCTGGGCTGAATGTGAGTCAGTAGCAGGAACTGCTTATATATTCCAATGACAAGTACTTTCTTTCTGGAAGTGTTTAATTTAAATTGATTTCCAGCCCCTCAGTCACTGTGATGGCTCTAAGCAGGTCACAAACAAAGCGATTATCCCCAGGCCAACGAGTGCTAGAGTTACCTGTCTGCAGGTATAGATCTCCGTTTGTCCTGATGATCCACGCCGTGTCGTCGCTCAGGGCCACAAACACCGCCTGGGGCAGGGCTTCATACCAGTGCCGCTTCCCCTTGATGGTCACTTTTCCACAAGCAAAAGCTCGGTTAGATTTCTGTTCAATCTTCCACAGAAGGGCTCCTGTAGAAGTAAAACTTCTCTTCACTCTCCGAACAAATACTGAGAATTACTTACACAAAAGCCTTCATTCTGGCTTTCTACCCCAAGTGAGGAAAGAGCCTACAGCGCCAAAAAGCCTTATGCCCCTGGCTACCACCCACCAGCTGTGTGGCTTTGGGTGTCAAATCACCTACTGCATCCATGCCTTACTTCCTCATTTGTATCTTACAGGGCCACTAGGAAGACTGGAGGTGAGAACAGATTAGTGACACGGTACACGGAGCCTTACAGGGACAATGGCAGTGCCGACGCATTACATTGAGAGACACACAACTGGTGCCTAAAAAGAGCTAAAAAGTCCTATAGGGATTCAGGGGGGTCACTTCTGGACCAAGTGAGGGATAAGATGCGTGGAAAGGAGGCATTTGATCTGGGCTGTCCTTCTTTACTCAGAAAGGGATTCTGATAAACAGAGATGAAGAAGGGGAGGGAAGGAAGGTGTCCTATGTAGATGAAGGGTGTGACACAGACCAGGCAGCCACGTGTAAGAAACCACTAGTGAATCACCAAGAATGCAGCCAGGCTGGACTAGAGGGTCTGACATGAAGAGCTGGGGTAAGAGGAGAAAAGCAAGACCAATGGTGAAGGCTGAAGCACACCCTGAATGCCATGGGGGCTCTGGTGCCCTCTCATGATGTGGGCACTGCAGGACAACTCAGCCAGGTACACTGATCTGATAGAGACAGAATTCCGAATAGATCAACAAGGGCTGGAAAGTTTTGGAAACACAAAGTAATCAATAGAATCAGGACAGGACCAAAGTTTCTAAATGGCTGGGGAGATGAACCCAGCAGTAAATAACAGAGAAAGAATTAAAATGCACAATTATATAACGCCACCTAACGAAGCAGACTATGATCGCAGCCACTCTCTATAGAAAAATATTTTCAAACCAGCAAGGAGATAAAACAACCTTGAACAAACTAGTATTTTAAATAGTGAGAAGGACCAGGAAGAGTTCAAGGAAATCCATCTGAAACAGTAAAATTACAGGGGATGAGTCTAAGGCCACAGAGTATGTTTTGCCTGACTTCTACTCCAGTGCCCTATCAATCAGACAGTTACCATGAGGCAAATATACATAAATACTTCTAGTCTACCTACACACCCCTCAATGGGTGAACTAGCCAAATTATTCTGGACAGGGACCGGAGGCACAGGCTGAAAGTCTAGTAGAACCTCGTTCAGGAAATGTCTGTCCCAGCTCACTAAAAATGATTAGCTTGACCATTCTTGGCTTGCAAGAATGAAGGCATTTTTCTTTTATACTCAGAGAGTAAATTATTCAGCCAAAGCATACATATCGCTCATTAAAGAATAATTTCTAGAAAGGAAACCAAATAATCTGAACATATCCAACGTATCCATAGGTCCATCTTCATTAGTTCAGTTGCTTTAAAGCAATTCTAAGAAACAGGAACATAGGGGTGCCTGGGTGGCTCAGTCGGTTAAGTGTCCAACTTTTGATTTTGGCTACTGGTTTTAAGATTGAGCCCTGTGTCAGGCTACACGCTGGGCCTGGAGCCTGCTGAAGATTCTCTCTTCCCCTCCCCCCGTAAAAAAAAGAAATAGGAACACATTTTTATAAGGGACTAATACGTTAATATAGCTTTTACAAAAAAACCCTCAAAATTCAAGCTATTTGCATAGGTTATAAAAACATGTTTGTGTTACCATTGCAATAAATAAGAAAACAAAGATTCAAACTAAACATTCACTTATTGGACATTTGTTAACTGATGTCAAATGAAGCAACCCTATTATTTGGAGAAAACCCCCCCAAACGTGCAGGGATAGGCCCACATGGCGCATGGATGGAGCTTTGGCAGGGCCTGCTGTGTGCCAGGCCAGCTACGCTCACAGGAGCAGGGAGCTGGGGAGGCCAACCTGAGGGTGAGACCGCCACCTGCTGGACGGCGTCCTCAAACTTCTGCCAGCGTAGCCCAGCGCCCGGCAGCGCGCTGCAGAACAGGCCGCCTTTGTAGTCCAGGCACCAAATGTACTTCTCAGAGACAGCCAAGCTGAGTATGCCGTAGCCGGGACCAGAGTATCCCATCCAGCTTTCTGCAAACTAACAAGGACAGAGCCTGGTGAGTCCTGTAGCAGAGCACACAGCTGCACTGTCGTTCTGTCATCCACGAGGAAAGTATGCAGGATAGAATTCACGTCAGAGAGCTGACGATCTCTGAGAAACCACGCAGGGACCTGCTACCTTTGAACCATGCTCTAAGGGAAGCGTTCTGGAATGGGAGCTGTTGTGCCCCACTAGGACCCCAGAGGATGCCCAGGCAACGCTCTGTCATGTCAAAACACCTTTCCTGATGCAATGCTTATGTTAAAATGACCTAGCTTTACACATGCGTACTGCACTTTACACAGCGTGCATGCGGATCAGTGATTTGTGCATCAGATCCTTACAGAATCAGTAGGAGAAGCGGCACTACCGCCATCTCTGCGTCTTCACCCTCAGAGGGAAGTTCCCAGTCATTGTACACAGGGCACATCATGAAGCCGATGGAAATCTGGCCAAGATACTCAGCCTGGCTGAACCTTATAAACTGATGCTTTGTTGCACCGATTCTTTAAAAAAATCAAATCTGAATGAAGTCGACGTAGTTTAAGAATTTTCTGAAACCGCAGAAGAAATCAATGTACTTGTACAATCACCCAAATATAGAAGGTCGCTGCTTCACAGGGAATGGTGCCCGCCCCGTTTCAATACAGCTCTGTTCCCCATGATGAGTCTTCCCCCCACCCCTTCTCATCTTCCCCTCCCTCCTCCTTCCCTCCACCCCTCCACAAATGCCACAAAATCTCTTGGCTTTCCAGCCACTGGAAGGGGAGGAGGGAGGAACCATGAGGAAGGGAGAAGTCCAAGGGCCAGGCTCAATCTCACTGGGGGTGGGGGTTTCTAAAGTTCTGGCCTAGAATTCCAATAGCCTGCCCCCACAACACATCGACGCATGTCTGCCTGTCTAGTGCCATCCCTGGGCAGGCGCCCTCTCTGGGCTTCCCAAGCCCTGGATTTTGCTCACCACCATCGGCAGTCTTGCTCAACTGAGACAACTGGCATACATGCCTGACTCCTCCTTGAGACTCTGAGATCCTGACTGGCTATCCAGGCCCTGCAGCACCCAGCACCAAACACAGAGCCTGGCAGCCAAAGGCACTCAAGAAAGGACGAGCACAGGCAAGACTGAGTAGAAAATCTAACCTTTGGCATTTGTCTCAAAACAAGTAAGCAATACCTTTCACCGTCAAGGCAGGACAGCAAAGAGGCTGAGAGAGGGCCCTGGGGCCAGCTGTGCCCTTCATCTGCTATGTGAATTGTGCAAGCCATTTAACCACATCTCGGTTTCCTCCTCTGTAAAACGGGGACCACAGCAGTACCCACTTCATGGTTTAGTTTTTAGAAAAGCTAATGAGTTGAACTTGCAAAGTGCTTAGCATGGTGCCTGGCACATGGCAAAAGTTGCCCAAATGATATGCATCATTAGCACCGAGAGAATTCAGCAATACATTTTGGGGAAATACATGTAAGTTTACACTCATAATCCATACCTCACAATGACTTAGAAAAAGTTATAATTTGGTTTGAAACCAAATACACTGAATAATAACCTGCTAAGAAATGTAAACACTGGGCAGCCCCAGTAGGTCAGCGGTTTAGCGCTGCCTTCAGCCTGGAGTGTGATCCTGGAGACCCGGGATCGAGTCCCATGTCCGGCTCCCTACAGAGAGCCTGCTTCTCCCTCTGCCTGTGTCTCTGCCTCTCTCTCTGTGTCTCTTATGAATAAATAAATAAAATCTTAAAAAAAATAAATTTAAACATTTAAAAAATCTTTTAATGTAAAATGACCAAGAATAACCATCCTTAATGGCATGGGTTGGGGGAACCCTCAGGAAACTGGACGCCCCAAACCTACCTACCTGATCTGATTTTAGCAGCCCAGTGCCATCTGTGCCAGGCTGGCTCAGGTCCTGCAGGGAGCGACTACCACCAAGCTCCGTCACACTTGTCTCCGAGGAAGAGGAAGGCAATCCGTGAGCATAGATGTCCTCCTCGTCACTGGATGTCAACACCTGGTCCCGTGAAGGCTGCTCATGCCGAGGCTCATGGGTGCGAACCGCCAAGGCAGAGACCGGGGGTGTCAGCCGTCCTCCCACAGTCCCCAAGTCACATTCCGGAGCAATCACTTCCTTTAGGCCTGTGTCACTGTCGGTGACAGCATGCCAGGGAGTTGAGCCAAGGTGGCCAGGGCCCCCCATGTGCGTGAGGAAGCCCTGCTCCTTGCTGGGCTCCTCGGCACTGCCTTCGTCAGCGCTGGTTGCCGGCAGCTGCTGCTCGGCATGGGAGGCCCAGCTGAGGCTGGAAGGCACTGGGGGTGAGTTCAGGAAGGGGGCTTCAGAGAAAGTGCTTTGGGAGTCATCAGGTTCCATGTCCCCCACTTCCCGGGCCTCAGCAGAGCTGTCCTGTTCTTGACAGGGTGACTGTCTGCTACTTGGTCCATCGACTGCGGGACAAGACTCCTCTCTGAGTTCTATAACATCACTGCCTTCCATGGCTTCCCGTAGCTCCAAGAGCGAAGTCCACACTCCGCTGTGTGGCCCTGTCTCGCCTGCACGGTTACACGGTAGGATTCCCGGTCTATCTCCATTCCCTTCGTTCAGTACATCAGGGGCAGGTGCAGGTACCTCCAGGACACTGAATGCTTCGGGGTCAAGATTTTCCTGCAGGACACCATTCACCTCCCCACTGAGGTTACTGTCCTGGTCAGGAGACTCTGTGCTCGACCGATCCACGATGCTGCCCAAACTTGATGTCATAGACAACAGGTCTGTGTTCAAGGACTGGGGACTGTCACCTGGGAACTCATAGCAGGGGGTCGATTCAAGGGAACTGTGGCAGGTGTTCCTGCTTCCACCTTCTAATTTAAAATAAGAATGTTTAAAATGAGGTGTGACTCTACATAAGTAGTAAGACTAAAAATATTTTGGCTCAAGAGAAAATATATTTTAAATGAAGGATATTTAAGTGGTGAAGAATAAATCTCTCAAGTACGAATTATCCCAATGCAAAGGTGTTTTAAATGGACACAAACATCATGATGAGACACACTGATGGGCTCTGAGGCCTCACTCAAGAAATGTTAATGGAAGAAAACAAAGGAATGGATGGACTGCAGACTTTAAAATTATTATAATGCTTAGCAATCTGATAAGTATGTGTAGCTAGAGAGGTCTATCAGGAACCAAGGAGTCAAAAGTTAAACCATTTCTGGGCAGCCCGGGTGGCTCAGCGGTTTAGCGCCGCCTTCAGCCCAGGACCTGATCCTGGAGATCCCGGATCGAGTCCCACATCGGGCTCCCTGCGTGGAGCCTGCTTCTCCCTCTGCCTGTGTCTGCCTCTCTCTCTCTCTCTCTCTCTCTCTGTGTGTGTGTCTCCCATGAATAAATAAATAAAATCTTTAAAAAAAAAAAAGTTAAACCATTTCTGTTAAATCCCACATTCAGTAACCTATCCGACACTAAATGTAAAATGGATCCATCTAGGCACCAGCATGAGTTTTTAATTTCCACGTCTTTCCATTCAGGCTCAGAGTCTCTGGCCTCATACATGATTATACAGGAATAAATCAAAATTTTTATTTAAATATTGAGAAGTGTAAAACCCAGTCCCATGAAGCAGAGTGGTAAGCACACAGGTTATATTATTTAAACCTCACAAAAGTACTTAGTTGTGCGCGGTACTCTTTTTCAATGTAAGAAATATTTCACAGTAAAACTCCTTTGAGGAGGGACACCTGGGTGGCTCAGCAGTTGAGCATCTGCCTTTGGTTCAGGGTGTGATCCCAGAGTGCCAGGATAGAGTCCCAGGATAGAGTCTCGCATCAGGCTCCCCCGCAGGGAGCCTGCCTCTCCCTCTGCCTGTGTCTCTGCCTCATTGTGTCTCTCATGAATAAATAAATAAAATATTTAAAAAACAAAACAAAAAAGTCCTTTGAGGAAAGTTTTCTGAAGGCCTTCTCTGCTTCTCACTGAACAGGCAAGTGCTCATGCAGTGAAAGCCGCCCTCCCAAAGAGTATGCAAGACCACCCCTAAGGAAGCAGGAGTCAGGGTGTGCCATGCTACAGACAGTACCTGTCTTCTTCTTCCTCCTCTTTTTCACTTTCAGAGGCTTCACAACAAGCTCCTGGTCAAAGTCTTCTGAGCTAATCACACTGAATCTCTGTGAGGTGGACTGGCCGCCCCTCCCCAGCTCTAGAGCTGCCTGAAGCCCAGAGCCGCTGTCGGTGGAGTTGAGGGAGCTGCTCCTGCTCCTTGGCTCGCTGGCCACGGAACTGGCCACAGAGGAGCCCCTGAGCCTTGTCTCAGACCCTGGAGCTCCCGACGGCTTCTCCGCACGCTGTCCAAAGGCCTGCTCTGTGCATCCTGCCGTCTCCAGACCATCTCGCACTGAGAAAGAAGGGTGGAGTTTTACTGCTGCTTATCCGGGAAAGTCAACATGCCCTTACTCAGGTTTGCTAACCGTAAACACCAGCCTGCTAAATTTGGAGACTGGCGAAACTAAAAGAATCACACAAAACACTCCAATGGATGGTTCTTTGATCCAGGAAGCTCACACACCAAAATCAGGAAAATGATTGGCCATGGCTATTTTCTGTAAATGGCTCGGTAGGAAGGGGAGTACTAAGTATACAGCATTTCTCACATCAATTCACAAAGAATTCCTAAAGAAGAGAAAGTACCTGTTTCTAAGAAAAGGGCTTAGTGATATCCCCTACTTAGACCATGCCTTAAATATAACAGTCCTCAAAAGGCACTTGAAAAATATATGTGTACCTGTATTTCTTGAAGTTTAAGGCGAGAAAGGGAATGTTCCACTAGAACAAACCCAGGACAGAGAAGCACGTTAATGAAGTTAGTGTCCAGTGCGATCAGAGAGCAGTGGGACGATCTGGCAGTGGAGGGTGAAGTCACCATGCTCGGTGCCCCAGGACTGAGAGCCAGCAAGTTTCTCACTTTCATGGACTCGTCCTTCTCCACACACCACCACAAGGTCACATGGCCAGAACGGTTCCAGTCATCCAGGCCTCTACACAGGCCTGTGGACCACTCTGATCCACTCAGCCATCCTCCTGTTGCCGAGGATCCACCAGGAGCAGACTCCAGGCTGTGGTGCGCACAACTGGGGACTTACGGGCAGGATTCTGCTCTGAGTGAAGCCTGGCCAGGGAAGCGCCTTGTCAAAGATCACACGAGTTGATGGGAGGTCTTGGTCTAGAGCTGTCCTGTCCGATACAGCAGCCACTGTCCCACGTAGCTATTTAAATTCAAAATCAAACACAATCTAAAATTCAGCTGCACTCCCCACATTTTAAGTGCTCCGCAGCCACAGGTGGGCGGTGGCCAGCTACTGGGCAGTGCAGATATAGGCCGTTTCACCCCTGCAGAGAAGTCCCACTGGATGGCAGCAGTCTAGAGCTTACATCTCCCCTGTAAGCCACACTGCCCCTAACCACACTGTGCAGGTGCCAGTTCATAAAACTCAAGAGTCAGAGCTTATTGACTTTCCACAAAAATTATACGCTGGAATGACAGTTATCCTGACTTACCTCTGACTTTAGAAGTCATTCACTCCCTGACCCACCCCCTCCCTGCCATCTCGTAACAGACTAAATTTGGGGCCAAGGTAGCCTTATGACATTTTCACCTTTTCAAGTCCTAAATACCTGGCTAATGAGAGACTACTTGGGATACTTTCCTACCAGCTACACTTATATTCTAACATTACACAAAGACAAAAGGCTTCAGTAATGCTTCGTGGGCCCAGGAGTCTGCAGCCTGGAGCTCCTCTTCCTCGCCTTGCTCTCTGCTCTGGAAGGCCTTGGGTCCAGGACCTCTACTCCCTTTCCTGCAGTGACTCAGACACCAGCTAGTGCTGGTGAGAGCAGAAGCAACAGCAGAGATGCTCCCAGGGCCCAGACAACCCAAGCCCATGGTGACAGCAAACAGTCCACACTTCTGACCAATGTAGCAGGGCAGGAGCAACATTGGCTGAAGCAGAAATCAGAAGACAGGGCTGGTTGATTTGGGACTTGTCACTTACCCATCATCCTTGATTTTCTAATCTGTGAAACAGGGACACCATAGATTAATAAATACTCAGGTTTTTTTTTTTTTTAAGATTTTATTTATTTATTTGAGAGCAAGAGATCACAAGCAGGGGAAATGGTAGAAAGAGAAGCAGGGTCCCCACAGAGCAGGGAGCTGATATGGGGCTTGATCCCAAGACCCTGGAACCATGACCTGAGCTAATGGCAGATGCTTAAACTGACTGAGGCACCCAGGCACCTGTCACTCAGGGGTTCTATGTGTCATGTGTTATGCAGGGCCACGACACTGAGTTATGAGATCCTTGCAACCAAGAAGTTTACTGTGTGAGGTAAGGTACATGGTAAGTAAATGGCTCCACAGTTACAATGGGGTAGGAGGAGAGGCCCCTGGGAAATCAAGTGAAGACAGGGAGACAGGTTGGCTTAACTAAAGCACTCAGGAAAAGTATCAGAGATACAGAAATACCTGAATTGGGTCCTAAATAATGAGCAGGGAGAGAATAGAGGGCAGCATCCTGACAAAGGCAAGCCACGTTTGGGAGCACCACAAACCTAGTGCTCAGACCCACCTATGGCACTGGGGTGACAGGTGGTGGCAGGAGCCTGGAGAGAGCTGGCAGCAGCGGGAGGGGGGCCCTGCATGCCACCTCAGACGTGGTGGCGAGAGGAGTGCAGTGAGCAGGGAGGGGACAAGGCCTGGGGAAAGGTAGTGGTGGGGCTACCTGTCTCATGTTTCCCACAGGCTTGTCATCAGCATCAAACAAGATGCCTGCGAAACTGCTCTGTGAACTCCAGAGGCCACACAAGTGAGGGGGCTCTGGGGCCACACAGGTGTCCCTGGTGTGCCGCTTGCAGCCCCCAGCGATAATGTCTTTGTACCTCACCACATCTTCTAAAGCCCCAGTCTCATCTATAGAACAAGCACCTTCCATTTAGGATTTTATAAGGTCGTGCTTAGTAGTCTCTGGAATATAGAACAAAGTGAGTGACAGAGAGGAGAAGAGGGACAGGAAAGGGGAGAAGCAGGGGCCCACATGGTTGTTGTCATCATCAGGAACAAGTTCATGATGAGCCTCAAGTATACAAAGGACCGTGGATGTGTGCATGAGAACATGTATTAAAAGTCTCTGCTCACTAGAATCTGGGCTTGTATGAATTATTTTAAAAAGTCAAAAGCACTGAGAATAATCAATGCTATAGGAAGAACTGTGTTAAAGGTAAAAGATAGGTCCCAGATAACAGATTTTAATGTTCTAAAAGCTTGGCAAATCTCTATCTTTTGAAGTATTAATCCCACATGTGGTCTCAGAGTACCAGAGATCAGTCATGTGGGTGCTGGGTTCTTCTCCCTACTTGTCCAGCTGCCCCATCTTCCAGACCCATGAAACCACTCTACCAAATGTGAGGCTGTCTTATGTAAGCCTTAAAGTCGGTCAGCTTCAAGAAAAGTATTGTAAATGATATTTTAAGAATTACAGTGGGGGGGGGGTGCCTGGGTGGCCCAGTCGGTTAAGCATCCGACTCCTGGTTTCAGCTCCATGATCTCAGGGTTATGGGATTGAGCCCTGCATCAGGTTCTATGCTGGGCATGGAGCCTGCTTAAGATTCTCTCTCTCTCTCCCTCTGCCCCTCCCACTACTCATACACTTGCTCTTTCTAAAACAAAAAATAGTAACAAACAAAAAATCTTAAAAAAAAAGGAAAACTCTCCAAATACTTACTTGTTTAGATAATGCTCCAGTCATTTAACTAGCAAAGTAATGTTAAGGTTTATAAATTATAAAGTACAATTACATATACAAGTATATCTTATCACAAATACAAACCTATTGATGGTAGTCCTTCCGGTCTGCTTGAAATTCTTATAATGTTCCGATCTCCCTTTAAGAAAAATATTTCATGTTCTGTGCAGGAAACAGACACGATATCACCTGATCCTTCCAAACCAGCAATTGTGGCCTGCCCAAAAAAAGAAAAAAAGAAAAAGAAAAATCACACAAACAGGCAATAGTAAGAGTTGAAAGCATACAAACATGTGCAGGAATCCAAACGAGTCAAATAACAACTATGCTTTGTTATGCCCACTTCCTGAAACTTCTTAAGAGTCATCAACACAGGGGCACTGGGTAGCTCAGTGGCTGAATGTCTGCTTTCAGCTCAGGTCATGATCCCAGGGTCCTGGGATCTAGTCCCACATTGGGCTCTCCAAAGGGAGCCTGCTTAGAGAAGCAGGCTATGTCTGCTAAGTCTTAGAGAAGTCTGCCTGTGTCTTTGCCTCTCTGTGTGTCTCTCATGAATAAATAAACAAAGTCTTTAAAAAAATAAACTCATCAACACAAAGGCAGGGAGTTTCTGATAGGTGCATGCGCTGGAGTCATAAAATTTACCAGTAGATTCATGAAACTAAGCAGGTGAGCAGATCACCGCACCTCTCAGTTGCTGGGAACCAGGTCCCACCTGGTGCCCCTCCAACCCCCAGGATATGGAGCTCATCCTCCTCAGCAGGACCTGCCCATCAGCTTCACACAACTGCCTTGCTCTGTGCTTCAGGTGCCCTGAGAACAGCAGCCTTGGTCCTCCGTGATGCCATGGCTCTGCTCCAATTCCTTTCCTGACTCAGTCACTGGAAGAGTTCCAACTCGTTTCAGGTACCATCCTCCTCAGGAAATGGTCCCTAGAGAGCTCAGCCTCAGTGGCACTTGCCCAGGACTCATCACAGCTCACAGTGCTTTGTACAAATGCCCACAGGGAATGCTGCACCTGGGCTGGAGTGATGTGCTGACTGGTCTGGACCCCTATGTGCGCACTCCTGTGGGAGAGATGAGTGTGCACTGCCATTCATGGCTCTGAATGAATGAATGGATGGAGGGAGGGGTCCCTTAACGTCACCTGAAAACAAGACATCCAGAGCCTAAATGATTTTTAAATATTCTCTTTTCAGCCAACTGTGCAAACAAGAGGCAGTTCACTGTAGAGAGAAAAAGGGTCTAAATTTTGTTAATTTTTAAATAATCCTGATGAACAGCTAGAAACATGACATTGGTTTGAAAGCTGCCAATCATGTTGCCATGCCCACCCTGAAGGAAGCCACAGCCTCTGCACATGGACAGCTCCTTTGTCTCATGAAATTAATTATACCTGTTGGAGAAAGCGCTGGTGGTAAGGGCTCAGAAGAAAGGAACTAATGTACAAGCACCAAACATCTCAACTCCACTACCTACTAAGTGCGTATCAAATTCAAAGAGTACCCAGAGAAAGAAGAAAATTTAAGCTGTCTGTAAGTGGAGAAGAATACAAAAATGCCTTTCAAAGTGCTCCTTTAGAAGAGAAACCAGCTCAGGGCTGAAAGGCAGCTTGGTGGCTAGCTCACCCTGCACACCCTGCCCTCAAGCTCCAGGTGAGGAAGCTGTGCCAGGCAGACGAGACTCCTGCTTAGTGTCAGAACAGCAAGAAGGATCTACCAAAACCAAACATTTATTCAAATCTATAAAATAATCAGATCTTCACTTGATTTCCCTGACTGGCCCAAAGGAAAAAGTAAAGCATTAGAATCAATACTGTTTCCTCGGGGATCCCTGGGTGGCGCAGCGGTTTGGCGCCTGCCTTTGGCCCAGGGTGCGATCCTGGAGACCCGGGATCGGGTCCCACATCGGGCTCCCGGTGCATGGAGCCTGCTTCTCCCTCTGCCTGTGTCTCTGCCTCTCTCTCTCTCTCTCCCTGTGTGACTATCATAAATAAAATAAAAAAAAAATACTGTTTCCTCTGGTGTTCTGAGAGACAATCTGTAGATAAACACTGCAAAGACACCAAAGATGTGGAATGATTACATCACTTACCTGGTTGATGGTGTCTAGAAGGTAAATACTATATTCATTCCAACTCAACACCCAGCCTTCTTGAAAGAAACATGAAACAAGCCCCAGGTGTTTCTCAGGTAAGCTACAACTTCCCCTGTTGGAGGATTCCAGACGTGGGTACAGTTCAAAAGGCTTGACCCCTCCGGCAAAAACATCTTTTAAGATAAACGTGGCTTGAACAGTCCCATGGATGTCTGCCTTCCACAGTCGGAGCCCGGGCCGTGATGCATACAAGGTTAGATCACTCTGCTTACAAAGTCCTGGTATAAAACAAGCTCCAAATTTCCCAGTGCTGGAAGGAAGGGAGGGAGGGAGGGAGGAAAGGAGGGAGGGAGGGGAAGGCAGGCAAGGAAGGAAAAAAATATGAGCTGATTTAAAGTGACAGTTGTCAACCCTTAATATCAACTATAACAAGAATTTTTTGGATAAGCCTAAACAAGATTGATGTTTTTTCAAGTCCTCTTCTATGGTTTGTTCTGTTGTTACTACATAGTCACCTCTCTGTCTCATCCTCCCTGTAGCCCCCCCTGGGAAGTGTGCATCCGCTGAGCACACAGCCTGGTTCCTGGTGACCATTACAGTGCTGTACTCAGGGCTTTGTCCCCACCCTCTTGCTCAATCCTCACAGCAGCCCCATGAGGCAAACAGTTCAGCTCCAGTGTCAGAAAAGAGGAAATTGAGGCAGATGACAAATCCAGGTCTCACTATCCTCTCCATGCTCAGAAATTCTATTCCTTCTAACGCCTAATTGCTGTACTCACTCTAGCATCCCAATGAATGAGCATCATGTCCACAATTGAGTCCAAACCCACCACAGGGACCAGCTTCCCTTCTGGTCCCCAGGCATGGCATTTTTTCTAGTTTTAAAATTATGAAATATCTAACACAAAAGAATATGTGTTTTATATATATAATACATACTACATACTATATTTTATATATGTGTTTATAGGTATATAAAAGTTATGAAGTCTAATAAATGAAATGCACACCCAGGAACCCATTCCTCAACTTCAGAAATAAATCACCAGCGACACAGTTGATGTTTTCTCCTGCTTCTAAATGTTCCTGCCCCGGGCAGCCCTGCCTGGTGGCACAGCAGTTGGGTGCCGCCTGCAGCCTGGGGTGTGATCCTGGGGACCTGGGATTGAGTCCCACATCGGGCTCCCTGCGTGGAGCCTGCTTCTTCCTCTGCCTGTGTCTCTGTGTGTGTGTCTATGAATAAATAAATAAAATCTTAAAAAAAAAAATGTTCCTGCCCCTCTGTTCCCAGGTGTGACTACCAGACTGAATTCTGTGTTTATTATAATTACCTTGCTTTTTTTTAATTCCCTTGCTTTTATTGATAGTTTAAGCACATACATATGTATTCTTAAACACTACATATTTTAGTATTATTTTTTTTCATTTGTGTAAAAATATGATGCCATTTGTATACTTTTGCAGCTTGCTCTCAACATTATATTTCTAATATTTATCTTTACTAATAAAAAAGCTATTGCTCATTCATTTTCACTGCTACATAGTATGCCACAATTTTTTTTTTAACTCACAACCCTGTTGATGGGTATTTGAGTTCTTTCTACCTTTTTTTTTTTTTTTAAGATTGTATTTATTTATTCATGAGAGACACAGAGAGAGGCAGAGACACAGGCAGAGGGAGAAGCAGGCTCCATGCAGGGAGCCCGATGTGGGACTTGACCCCAGGACTCCAGGATCACGCCCTGGGCCAAAGGCAGCCACCAAACCGCTGAGCCACTTTTCAATATGATTATACCAACCTATGCTCCCACCAGCTATCTGAGTTCTTCCCCCGACCCCAAAGGTTTTATTTTTAAGCAATCTCTACACTCAGCGTGGGGCTCAAACCCACAACCCCAAGATCAAGAGTCGAATGCTCTTCTGACTGAGCTGGCTTGGCACTCCTCTGAGTTCTTTATGGTCCCATATCTTTGCCCAATCTTAGTCTCCTACCAGACCTCAAAGTTTAAGAGTTTCAGTCTACCCTCTCTTCAAACTACATCTCTGATTTTAAACAGTGGAAAGAGTACTGACTAGGGGTGCCTGGGAAGCTCAGAGGTTGAGTGTTTGTCTTCAGCTCAGGTGTGATCCCAGGGTTCTGGGATTGAGTCCCATGTCGGGCTCCCTGCACGGAGCCTGCTTCTCACTCTGCCTATGTCTCTGCCCCTCTCTGTGTCTCTCATGAATAAATAAATAAAATCTTAAAAAGAAAGAAAGTATACTGACTCTACATTGACAGCAGGCCTCAATTTCCAGCCCTGACATTTGCTATGTGCTATGCAACCTTTCTGGATCTCAGTTTCCTAATCTATAAACCAGGGGTAATCATTCCCACCCGAAAGGTTAAAGAGAGGATTAAGAGACCCAATCTATGAAGGCACCAAAACACTCCTGGTGACATTGTAAGTCCCCACAACTGCTCGTGGGCCATGCACAGGGCTACAGGTGCTCCCAGCTGGGATCTACCTCTAGTTCCATTCATGTCACCGCTGCTCCTCAGGTGTCCCTCTCCCCTCACCCTCTCTGCCACATCAACACACCGGCTCTCCTGAGGAGCTGTCTCCAGGGCCCATCCCACACAGTCACACAGATAAAGTTATCTGGATGTTTCTCTGCACATCAGTATCTCCCTAGGTCCCTCTGGCTCCACAGAAACTGAATCTCTCTGGATACAGCCCAAGGAGGATATCAAATATCAAATTCAGCACTGAAACGAAGATTGTTAGATTAACCAAGAAGGTTCTAATGCTGTAGATCATTCACAGACAACTCTAAAATCAGCATCGTGTCTGATTACTGCCTTTGGTGGATTTGTTCTGGAAAGAGTCTCTAAATCAATCCCAAGGAATTCTAGCAGGGTATCTTCCTTTTGCCCTTCCTGTCAAATCAATTTCTGTTTGGTGATCCAATTGTTAAATGTTTTCCTTCTATTTATAGGTCCTCTTAAAAATCTCTTGTCACTTCCACTTTGATTTGTTCACCCTGGGTAACTAAAGCATTCGCTTTAACATGTTGTGAGTCCTGGATTGTGTGAGACCGTGGTGCTGCGGGCAACGTGAAAGATTAACAAGATGAGATCCTGGCCCTGTCTGAGAATATACTGGGGCAGAATGAGCGTGTATATGAACCACTGCAAGAACATCTAGGAGGTGCTGTATGGAGCTCAAAGGGCTGCCCGAGGAGTCTGGAGGGCTGTGTCCTGATGGGCAGGAGAGGGCTAGACCCAGGACTACTAGCTGGGTGAGGAGGGGACGGGCACTCTGGGGGAAGGACATGCTGAGAGGGTCCTGGTGGGTGGCTAGCTCTACAGAATTGCTTGAACATGTAGCCTGTGAATCACTGCGGGGTTGGGGGTTGGGGAGCAGCTAAGCTGGGGATAACTTGCTAGAGCAAAGTGCAAATTATCCTAAACCCCTGGCTTGGAGCCATCCACATGCAATATGATTTTGCAGCATTAGCTGATGCCATTCTGAAATGGGCCCTCAAACTCCAACTTTTAAGGTCTAGGTACTGTAGGATTCTAAAATCATAACTAATTTTGGTAGAGGTGACTTCTAGAAGAATCACTAATTACTTTTAAAAATACTTTAATTCCCTTTATGAGCCACATAAATATGAAAGGAGTGGGTAATTTCTGTTTGGTTTTTTTTTAAGATTTTATTTTTAAGTAATCTCTACCCCCAGTGGGGAGCTCAAACTCACAACGCTGAGATCAAGAATGGCATGTTCCATCGCCAGGCAGACATTCTGAAAGGGATGTTTTCTACTGTGATATATAATCTGTTGGTGCCATAGACCTGAAATGCTGAGCGTGAACAGAGAGAGCCCGCTGCACCTGTCCCTTCGGCTCTCCACTGAAGGAAGACTCTGCTCCTGTCCACAGCAGACTGTTCTATCCTCTATCCCCCGCCCACCCCAGGCTTCTGTAGGTCACTGCACCACCACTCCCCGGAGTGCTCGGGCCACGACCTCTGACTAATCTCTTTCTCTCACACCCCTGAGTCAACGTGTCAGCAAACCTGACAGCTCTGCCCTCCAAGCATTCCCACCACCCTGCCCTGGTGTAAGTCCCTGGCTGGCCCCTCTGAGCTGCCACTCTTGCCCCCTCCAAAAAGCAGCAAGGGTGACCTGACTTGGTTAAAGCCTCTCACAACTGCTGACATGCTAGAATGAAGCTGCCCCCGACAAGGCCCACAAAGCCTCCAGGATGGGGTCCTGTCCTCGCCCCTCTTTTCCTCCACACACACATGGCCTCGTTGTTCCTTTAAAACTCAAACACTTGGGACATGTACTGCTTCTGCCTTAAGAGCTTCTCTCCAAGGCCCTCTCATGGTTCCCTCTGCCCTTCCTTCAGGAATCTGCTCTGGTCTCTGCTGTGGAGGAGCTGTCTCTGCCTACCTATCTAGGGCACACACCTCTGTCCCCTGCTCTCTCCTCTCTAGGCCATATCCTGATTTATTACTACTGAACATTCTAGAACATATTTATTTAATGCTGCTCTCCCCTGTCAGAAATGTGAGCCCCTGAGATTAGAGACTTTCTCAGTTCACAGCTGTCTCCTAGAATGGAGAAGGATGCCTGGCACTCAGCAGAGACTCGGTAAGGATTTCTCAATGTCCCTAGGTAAACTCACCCAATGGCAGGGTCTCAAGGTCGCCTGTATCTCAGGACTTCCAGGCCTGTATATGTCACTCCTCACTGTGACTCCTGCTTGGCTACTACCTAACAGGTACCTCCAGCTTAATATGCCCCAGAGAGAACAGATGTCTAGACCTCAAACCTGGGCTGGCCCCAGTGTGCCCACTGCAGGTAGCTTCTGCAGCCATGAACACAGAAACCTTCTACTCTTTTCTTCCCCTTGCCCCCATATCCAATCCATTATCCAACCCCATGTTTTCTATCTCCAGATTATGGCTCCCTCCATCTCCCTGGAGGCCAACCACCAGGAGCCAGCCTCCGTGCTTGCTCCCAAGATTCCTGCAGTACCCTTCTCCCTGAGTCCCTCCTGTCCATCTCCAATTAAGTCTCCACATAGAACCAGGGTGAGCTCTGAAATGTCCCTCATACTGCTGTTCTCCTGTCTAAAGCACTTCAATGCTTTTTTTGCTTGTTTGTTTGTTTGTTGTTATGCTTAGAATAACTTGGGCAACAGCACATGGTCCCCCAGCTCCCTCCCCCTAAGCTGGCTCAGGCCCTTCTTTCCCATCTCATTTTCTACCAGGGCACCCAACCCACTCCATGTCACCCTGGACCCTTGGGCTACCTGAACATTGCAAACCCTGGCCCAATGCAGGGCCTTTGCATTTGCTGTTCCCTGAGACCAAAATGCTCTTCTATCAGCTCTTCCCATGTTTGAGGCTTCAGCTCAAATATCACATCCCCACAGAAGTCTTTCCAGACCATTCTAAGAGAGCATGCCACTCCCACCCCTAAGGCTTCACCCTGATTGTTTTCTCCACAGCATACACCCAGGCCTACACATTTATCCTGCTTCAGGGCAGAGACCTATCCCCTTGCTCACTGCTGTCCACTATGTGCTGCTGCCCCACAGGCACGCACCAAATACTTGTTGAATGAAGCACTGCTTCCAAGGACTCTGCAGATGCCCTTTCTGAACCACAATCTCAAATAGCACCCAACAGGAAAACAAGCCTTTAAGACAAAGAGGTGAACAACTTTTCCATTTGCTCTGTTATCACTACTTCTCTAAGGCTCAGTGGAATATATTTCCCTGGGAGAAGGGGGACACATTTGTTTGTGTCTACAGCCTGGAACAGTGCTGGCACAGTCCAAAAGACCCGAGTAGACATGTGCACCAGGAGGGGCTCATGGAAACTTGCTTAGGTTTCCACACAGGAGGTTGGAAGACCAGGTCTTAAGAGAAAGACTACTGGCTGAGCCACATGAAAAGTAACTGGTTTTTGTATCTCTGTCTTTATCCTCCACTATCCTTCTAAAAACACACAATGTAGTAAGACACTGATGAAAAATCAGAACAAAACATCAGACAAGGGGGACACTGGCAGAGGGAAAAGCAAGATATAGACGTGTAGAACCACTAAGCCCCAGTTACAAATTCTATTGTGTTGCCTAGGAGCTAACAAGGAGATTACTGCTATAAAAAGGCCAAATTGTTGATGGAATTGAGGGGGTATTCATCACGGAAAACAGAAGCCAAAGGGAGGCATGACCAGGTCTTTTAATAGCTAAGGGCTGCCATGCTCCGCCCATCTGACCTTCCCTTCTCCAGGCCATCCGTCACCCGCCCAGCTGTCACCACCAGCCTCCTAGGCCCTCCCTTGTGGGCGCAGCCAACCCATGTCTCTCTCACTGCCAGCTTGCTCTCCACACTCCCCAGCCCACCCACCCTGCCCCACTGATTCTCTGTAGGCAACAGTGCCCCTTTACCAGGGACTTCTCTAAATCCTGCCGCCCAATCTATAAGCCGCTGGCACCCATTCTCTCTTCCTGCCCCCACTTGGCTCTCTGCCCCTCTCTTCTCAGGATGAGGGAGGTGGCCCCACTGCTCTACCTAGCCCCCCTCCTCACTGACCCAACCTCCACATAAACTGGGCCCCAGAGCTCTACAAGTGTGTTTCTGGCAGGGAGGTCACCCATGTGCTCCTGCTGCCTCTTCCCACACGGCTGGCAGGCGACTGGACTTGGCCTATCCCTTCTCTTACTGTCCTTCCAGGTAGCAGGTAAATGGGAGGACAATCTCTTAGCCTGGAAGCCTCCCCCTCCAGACCTTCCCTACTCCTCTTGGCCAGTTCCACATCTTCCTTACCCACTCCCTCAGGAAGTATGCCTTCATCCCCAGGCTAGGTAGAAGCTTGATAGCACGCTGCACATTGCTCCATAGCAGGTAACACAGCTATTAAAAACTTTTTTGCTGAGTTTATTAAGTTTCCATAATGGTAGGCTCCTATCTGCCTTGTGTGCTAGCTATCCCCAAGCCTGGCACAGCCCACACAGTGCAGAGGGGTCCCCGATCCTTCACTGGGGCTGTGGTGGAGGGGTGCCCACACAGGAGTGGACCCAAGCAGACCACATCCTGGCACTCAAGGCAGAGAGGCCATGTCTGCAGCTTCCTGCAGTAGTACAAGAGGGACACACTCCTCCTGTCTGATGCTGGGACAAGGTGCCCTGGGCAGGTTAGGGACCCACTGGGAAACTCCAGGCTTAGAGCTACAGAGGGCTTGCACATGGCAAACAGGAAACCTAGAAAAACTTAAAACCTCTCTGTAACCACCACCCTGGGGCACTTTTGACCTTTACCTTTTCCTTGGTTGTGTTCCAATTTGCTTGACAGACTTTTCTTCTGTGTAAAAAAGCAGGCTTCTCTGTAGTGTAGACACAAGCAGCACTTTCTGGCTATAATCCAGTTGCACAATTGAGGATGGCTCCTCCAAAACCAAATGGGAGTTACAGACACCCTGTGAGAGAGTCCAGTTAAACCCAACTCAACATGGAGTTAAAGTAACCCGCCTTCCTCTATGACTGGGAAGCATCCTTTTGTTATTTGAATTTGGGTCAGTTTACACCTTAAAACATATGCTGTTAATTCTTATCAGATTCAATGTCAGCCCACTGTGATGAACTCATTTCGAAAAGTTCTTATTACCAAGAAAACAATGTTAACATCTATCTCAGGCTACATCAAGTTTGGCAAGAAACATTAAAAAATTCTGTATAATTTCCCTTAAAATGTCTCAGTAGAGAGTTCGAAGAAGAGTCCACAAAGATCTAAGCAGAAATATGTTACACTGTATTGTTTATTCTAATAGAACACAATGGGACTTTTATAAAATTACTGTGACAACTATCACCTGAGGTCACATTACACTCTTCCCCCACAAAGAGTTCAAAGCAATTCTGGGGACATTATATTCTTGCCAACTGAAAGGGTAGAAGAAAGGAATTGAAATAGTATTAAATATACTGAAGAACAAAGGTAAACTCTAGAAGGCATTTTACTGCTAGCACAAACTCTTATTTCTTGGTGTCAAAAATCTGCTTCTACAAATGACTCTTCCCTTGACTGAATTTAATTGTTTAAGAAATACTGACGCACTGTCACAGACTTTTGGCAGTTGTAGGGCAGCGATCAGATTCACTGGTAAAATCTACATACAGTAAAATTCACGCTTTTTAGGTATACACATCTATGGATTTTGACAAAGGCACACAGTTATACAACCACCAACACAATGAAAATAGAGAAATTCTCATTACCCTCAAACACCAAGTACTTTTAAAACAGATTTCCCTCCCACATTTGTAGTTACATAAACTCTAGCTTTTCAGTTTTTGACTTAGCTTATAATGAACTAAATTTATTGTATGAATTTTGCAAAAACACTCATCCTCCCATATCTTTTTTTTTTTTTTTTTTTTTTGCAAATCTCTTTGTACTTGTATCTTTTAAAAAAAACCTATCAGAACCTCAATAAAGCTGAGGAAAAAGTTATCAGCATGCTAAGGGCACTGTTTTCTGCACACGGCTTTCTCTCCACTTCCTGAAATGTGGACTCACGAGCAGTGCTCTCCTGGTGCTGCCCGCAGGCCTGAGCAGAAGAAAGGTACATATAACACAGGGACTCCTGATAACCTCAATGCTTTCCTGCAGAACAGCAGTTCTCAAACTATGGTTTGCAGTCTTTTCCAAAGAGTCTGCAAGGCCAAATGTATTTTCATTATAATACCAGGTTGCATCTGCCTTTTTCACTGAGCTGACATTTGCACTGACACAAAAGCCACAGTGGACAGAGCAATGCATTGAACCCCAATAATCATCATGGTGCCCTCTACCATCACACACTCACGGCAAAAATGTGTGTTTCAATGAAGACTGTTTCTGATGCAGAAAAATCTCAATTTAATTAAATCCTGGCTCTTGGGTACACACAGTTTTGAATTTTCTGTGATAAAATGGAACATGCACATGGTTCTTCTGCTGCATACTGAGGTACTCTGGGTCTCTCAAAGAAAAGCACCTGTTTGACCATTAGAGCTATGAGCTCAACCAGCTGCTTTTTCCCCCCGACAAAATACCATTTTTTACTTGACATACTATAATTATAAAGCGTGGGTATTTGGCAGACATTTTCTCAGATGGAACAAAGTGACCTTGCCACTTCAGTGAAAACAAGTAATAGTGTTTGTTGCTGATAATAAATTTCAAGTTTTTGGGACGCCTGGGTGGCTCAGCGGTTGAGCGTCTGCCTTTGGCTCAGGGCGTGATTCTGGAGTTCTGGGATTGAGTCCCACATCCGGTTCCCTGCAGGGAACTTGCTTCTCCCTCTGCCTGTGTCTCTGCCTTCTCTCTGTGTCTCTCATGAATAAATAAATAAAATCTTCTCTCTGTGTCTCTCATGACTGAATATAAATAAATAAATAAATAAATAAATAAATAAATAAATAATAAAAAAAGAATAAATAAGTAAATAAATTTCAAGCTTTCCAATGAGGATTCAAATTGAAAACTTGTATCAATTCCTGTGAATTTGGGGAACTCTCAGTAGCTAAAGACTTTTCTGATCAGAATGATGATGATATGATGATATGATGATGATAAAAATTAACAAAGATGTGTTCTTTGATATTATATAATTAAATGTGTCAACATTTGAAAAGATCTGCATCACTCAGTAGAACAGTGTTTTCCAAGTGATCAACACGTGAAATCACGCATGGATCAAGGAGCCATTCAAAGTGCAAGACAGACCACTGGATTTTACTGTAACAATACAAAAAAAAAAAAAATCCATCCATATGGTTTCAGCTTCCCAGTTACCACTCACCTTTAAAAAAAAAAAAACAAAACCACCATCCGCCAGTTGTGGGATAAGATTAATGAAGAATATCCACAATTCTCTAAAAAGGCTATTACAGTATTTGCCCCATTTCCAACTACAGGTCTGTGAGAGGCCAGATCTTCTTTATATACTCCAATCAAAACAATGTATCAGTTTATGCAAAATGCAGCCATCCTCCATCAAGCCAGCCATTAAAGAAATTTGTAAAAATGTAAAGCAATGTCCTTTTCACTTGTTTTGAAAATAGTTACTTTCATAAAAATGTTACTTTAACTGTTACTAATAACAGTTTTATTATTTCAAAATACCATTAATAAATATTAAATTTAAATTTCTCCATTTTAATTTCCAACATGGCACACTTATATATAACCTATACAAACGGAAGCTCCATGGGGTCCTCCTTTTAAGAGTGTAGAGGGGTCCTGAAAACCTAAAGCTTTGAGAACTAGTGCTAGAGCTAACTTGTAATAGTCCAGTCGTGGATTGGAGGGACTAAAAGCCATTTGGCTGGTAATTGCTGAGTTCCTACTATCCATGAGGAATGAAGGCTACAAATAAGAAAATGAAAGGCTCATGCCACTAAGGTGTTCAGTCCAGCTGGGCAGATATGATCAAATGAAGTACAAGCTCACACAGAGCCGCACGTGAAGTGGAAAAGGCATGGGCTTTGGGGCAGAACCTCGGTCTGAAGTTGAGCTCTGCTTGTGGTGTTTCCTTATGACCCGGCTAGTGACTGGGCCACTGAGCCTTGGGTTCTTCATCTACTGATGGGGGATGAGCACCCATAGCTCAGGGTACTGGGGGGCCACCAAACCTCCTCTGCCCACTCCCTCCCACAGGGCAAGCTCTCCACCCCCTGAAAGCACTGAACTCTGTTCAGTTATTTTTTTTTTAAGATTTTATTTATTCATGAGAGACAGAGAGAGAGAGAGAGAGAGAGGGAGGCAGGCAGAGACACAGGCAGAGGGAGAAGCAGGCTCCATGCAGGGAGCCTGACATGGGACTCGATCCTGGGTCTCCAGGATCCCACCCTGGGCTGAAGGTGGTGCTAAACTGCTGAGCCACTAGGGCCGCCCTCTGTCCCCAGTTATGATTATGAAAGGCTTCACATGGCCACTACAAACCCTTCAAGGAGAGGAGTGACAATGGCTTCTGTTGAAGGGGCAGCAGGAGACAGCAGGAGAATGAACACTGTGAAGGAAGGGGCCAGTGCAAACAAGAGTTGCCAACCCTTTAGTCACCGAAGTAGAAGCTTAGAAAACGTTAGAGAAGTCCTTGAGGGAAAATGTTACAAATAATAATGAGAGTATAAAGGGACAATGATTGAGAATACAAAAGGACTGACTAAAATGTAATTATGGATATAATTTCTCCAAATAAAGAAGGCCAAAATATTTCTGGAAATAATCTTACCTGGTCTAGATCCAGAGAAGAATAGACAATTTTCCCTTTGTCATCTCCAGAGAACAATTTCATTCCATTGGGGCTCCAAGCCAGAGCGGTTATGCTATTTTTGTGAATACCGGTGACATCAAATCTCCGAAGCTGGGAATAAATGGTAAACATGTGCACAAGGAAAGAAAGGGTGGACACTGTGAGACAGGTCTCTGTGGGCAAGGGGGTACACAATCCTTCCTACTCATGGAGGAGCTTGTTTTCCCAACAAGCTAGAAGGTTTCCTCTGGCTATTTATCTTTATTTTATTTTTTTGCTATTTATCTTTAAAACTAACAAAGGACAGCCAGAGAAAATTAGGCAAAATCTAAATTGTCCAAATGTGCTTTCTGCCAAGTGTCCTACCAAGAACAGAAATGTTATCTGGTTTATAAAGAGCACAGGGTGAAGCTTTTTCTGAGCAAGTATTTTCCAGGCATATAAGGATTTCTCATTTGAAAATCCAGGAAGAATTTGCCAAGAAGTTAAGAAATGCCAAAGCAACTAGTACTTACTTGTTTATTTCTCCCTGGCAGTGAGGATACAAGCTGAAAGACAGCAACCCTCCCAGAGGCAGTGCCTGCAGCCACTAGGTCATCGAAGCAGCTCAGCAGCTTCACCACTGTGATGGGTTCTGTTTTCCCCTAAAAGAACAAACATCCATGACAAATGGACCTGTAATCAGGCTAGCTTCCAAAATGTAACCATTACCCATGGAGGTGGAAGCTTCATCAGGCTGCAGCCTCTACAGGGTCCTGGTTGAAAATGTATACATACAGAAAAATAATTACATCTGTTAGAACCCTCCTTTTTCTTTGTAGGTCTTTAATCTTTGAAATGACAAAATACACATTTCTAACTCGGGAAATGTTGATCAATCAAGTGTAAATATTTTCAAAAAAAAAAAAAAATCAAGTGTAAATATTCTGAGCTCTTATTGAGAGTACTAAAGAGCTTGGAGAGGTATTTCCTTCCCCCAGAACAGGAGTCTGGAGTAAGAAGAGCTATTCCAGGTCCATGCTCTGCTTTCTTCTCTCTCAATGTGGACAAACCATTTAATTACTGTAGTCCACGGTGTGCCTGCCACACAGGCTTGCAGGGAGGATCAAGCTCATCTGAAAGCACTTTGTAAATGGATTCCTTCTTAGATCAGTAATCAAATTAAATTCTAAACACCAACTCAGGCTTAATACACTGGTTTATTAAAAAAAGCACATGTACAGGGGGCACTTGGGTGGCTTAGTCAGTTAGGCGTGTGTTTTCAGTTCAGGTCATGATCTCAGGTCCTGGGATCAGCTCTGAGTTGAGAGCAGGGAGCCTGCTTCTTCCTCTTCCGGCCCCCTGCTTATTCGCTCATTCTCCCTCTCTCTCTCTCTCCCCGGCTTGCTCTTTCTCAAAAAAATAAAATCTTAAAAAAAAGGAAAAGCACATGCACAAGCATTGCACACAGATATTCAGGCTTCCAGCCCATTAAGTGAAACCATTCATTCAGAAAAATTACATAACCATTTGACCTTGCTAAGACATATAGCAAATCTCCAATAAACTACTTTGATCCCTACATTTTGATGCAGTAATTTAGATGGTAATCAATCTGTCAAGTGTAGAAGCATACCCTCCACATTCAGGATACTGAGTCAGCTGCTATGGTGATATAAACTAAAGTAGGTCGCAGTCCCGCCCTCTTAAAGCTGAGCCATGGCAGAGAGCCACGCACATGAAAAGCCGCCTACAGCCAGCGGGGGTGGTGATGACTGCACTCACTTTCATCTGGTACATTACAGCTTTCAGGGTATTCTCATGGGCTATAAATATATCTGGTGAGAGATCGTGATGGAAGGTAAAGGATTTGGATCTTAAGCTACAGGAAGGCAAGGGGGAGCCCTGAAAGATTCCTGACTTTTCCTGTGTATCCATCAGAGGTATTTCTGATAAGCCCAATCAGGTGCAGCACAGAAGAAGGAGGTCTTCCCACAGCCAGGAGCTTCTGTGGCAGTTCAGGTTGGAGCTAGTATGTGCCTAGACCAGAGAAGCAGCAAATTGAATGAGCACAAAGGCAGTAAACCCTGATGGAGAAGGAAAAGTCTGTCAAGACCTGGTTGGCATGATGACAGCATGATGACGAGGCAAGGAGCACAGCAACTCCCTTTACTGAGTGCCCCTTGCCCGCAGACAACTTGTTAAGCACTTCACATGCATTATTTCCTTGATTCCTCAAACAACCATGAGGGTAGGTGCTGAGGTGTCCTCATTTTACAAAGGTGAGGTGGTTTGTCTAAGGACACATAGCTGGAGGAGTCAAGAGTTAGGATTCACACCCAAGTATGGCTCTCTCCAGAGGCCCTGTCCTGCCTTGCTGCTCTATGCACCCTCTGAGGGTGAATCTGCAGGCCCTGTAGATAGATGGAAGGCTTGGCAGGCTTGGGGAGAGGAAGGAGAATAAAAGAACTTTATCATCTGTGGAGTGGGAAACACAAGTGATAGGTCCTTGAGCAGAATCCACTGGTGCTGCTCCGAGGAAAGGCAGTGATAGTACATGTCTTAGACACAGGTATTCTTGACATGGCAGCAGGATATTGAAGATAATAGCATCCTGGGAATTTTTAATTATAAAAATTGCCACCACATCAGGAATCAAAAATCTCTTATTGGAGATCTTGCCATGTGATAACATGAATTCAAAATGGTTGTGTAATTTTTCTCAAGATATGGTTTCAAAATACAAATCATCACTCAGATGGGCTGAAAGCCTGAATATCCATGTGCAGTGCTTGTACACAAGCTTTTTACTAGATCAATATTTTAAGTTAATATTATTTATTATGATCATTAATAAATGTTATGGTTCTTGACTTAAGAACCAAAATGTCCCAAGAATCAGATTATCAATACTTAGCTTCCAATAGAAACAAAATATGAGGCTTCAATTTCCCACAGTATAAGTCTAGCTATTCTGGAAAATGTTCCTTTCTGAACACCTAGAACTGCTGAGTAAGATACATAAGATGTCCTTCTTAAAAAAAAAAAAAAAGATTTTATTTATCTGAGAGAGAGAGAACACGAGGAAGGGCAAGAGAGAGAAGGAGAAAGAAAATCCCAACCAGACTCCACACTGACATGGGGCTCCCTGACATGGGGCTCGATCTCACAACCCCAAGATCATGACATGAGCCAATACCAAGAGTCAGATGCTTAACTGACTAAGCCACCCAAGTGCCCCCATAAAACATCCTTTTAAATGAATAGCTCATCTCCAGGAAGTTTTGGGCAAACCCAAAGAGAATATTGTCAAACAAGAAGAGAAGCCAAACCTGAAGCTATGGGACACCCCAGGCCTACCTGGTCACTACCAGGAGCCTTGGTTTCCTAAGCTGAGCAGAGCTAATGAGGATGAGGCTTCAGGCCAGATGAGATGGGAAGCTGAACTGATACCTGCTGCAAAGTCTCTGTAGAACCCCTGAAAATCTAATCCTGAGTGAAAGTATAAATCTAACCCTGAGTGAAAGTATAAACTAGCGAAAAATCAATTTGCTGGCAAACGGAGTGGACAAGGAACTCTGTCTTCTCTCAAACATCAACTGGAGTGAATAAAAAATAATGTTCCCCAAGAATCTTTTCTTTTTTTTTTTTTTAAAGATTTACTTATTTATTTATTCATGAGAGACACACAGAGAGAGAAGCAGAGACACAAGCAGAGGGAGAAGCAGGCTCCACACAGGGAGCCCAACGTGGGACTCGATTCCGGGTCTCCAGGACCATGCCCTGGGCTGAAGGCAGCGCTAAACCGCTGAGCTACCGGGGCCACCCAAGAATCTGTCATCCTAAGCCTGCCCTATTCAGCATCAGAGTTTGAATGTCTTTTCCCTTTCTACTCAAAAGGAACTCCATGCCAGGCAGTTGATCTGAAGTGCTTCTGTGTTAACAGCACTCTAAGGGGCCCAGCAGAGTGAGTATAAACCCTATCTGTGTACACAGTCTTGACCCAGGTTCCTCAGCATTCACACATATTAGGACCAGCCATGGAGCTCCCAATTAGAGACTACAGGGAAAAAGGGCTCATGAAGAAGAATCAACTAAAAAAAAACAATAATAGAATTGGACAGCCCTTCGCCCCCATCCAAGTATTGCATTTAGATCGAAGAGACCCAAACATAAAAGAAATATGCTTAAAATTATTAAAAGATATAAAAGGAAATTAAAAAATAGTAAGCCACTATCAGAAATGAAAAAGAGTCAAAAGAATTTAAAAGCTTAGTGGTGATTAAATACCAGATTAGTCACAGCTAAAAGAAAAAAAAAATTTTTTAAGATTTTATTTATTCATGGGAGACACAGAGAGAAAGACAGAGACATAGGCAGAGGGAGAAACAGGCTCCCTGTGGGGAGCCCAATGCGGGACTCAATCTCAGGACCTTGGGATCATGACCTGAGCCAAAGGCAGATGCTTAACCACTGAGCCACCAAGTGCCTGAAAGAAAATTATCAAACTAGATGATAGATCAGTACAACAAAGATAGAGGAAAAGATAAAAATAAGAAAGAGCAGAATCCTAGAGGACAGAGGATGAAGGTCCAATCTACATCTAATTGGGACAACTAGAAGAAAAGCAGAAAAACAGAAGGCAATATCTTCAGAGATAAGGGCTAGAAGTTGCCCAGAACTGATGAAACACTCATCTCCTCAGGAGTATAAGCCTTGAAAAAAGATTAATGAAAATAAATACACATATACACAATATGTCATGAAACAGTAAAACCTCAAAGACCATGAGAAGATATTAATATGTTAGATAAAATGGTAAATGACCAGATATGAATAATTATTTATAACCAAATTTCTTGGGGCACCTGGCTGGCTTAGTTGGCAGAGTGTATGACTCTTGATCTCAGGGTTGTGAATTTGAGCCCCACGTTGGGTAGAGATTACATGAAATCTTCAACACTGGGGATCCCTGTGTGGCTCAGTGGTTTAGCGCTGCCTTCAGCTCGGGGCCTGATCCTGGAGACCTGGGATCAAGTTCCACAGCAGGCTCCCTGCATGGAGTCTGCTTCTCCCTCTGCCTGTGTCTCTGCCTCTCTCTCTCTCATGAATAAATAAAATCTTGAAAATAAAATAAAATAAAATTTTCAACGAAACAATACTTCTCAACAGAAACAATAAAGTCCAGAAGACAATGGAAAATCATCTTCAAAATGCTGAGAGAGGGATCCCTGGGTGGTGCAGTGGTTTGGCGCCTGCCTTTGGCCCAGGGTGCGATCCTGGAGACCCAGGATTGAATCCCACGTCGGGCTCCCGGTGTATGGAGCCTGCTTCTCCCTCTGCCTGTGTCTCTGCCTCTCTCTCTCTCTCTGTGACTATCATAAATAAGTAAAAATTAAAAAAAAAAAAAAAGAAATACAAAATGCTGAGAGAGGGGATCCCTGGGTGGCTCAGTGGTTTAGTGTCTGCCTTTGGCCCAGGGCCTGATCCTGGAGTCTGCAGATCGGGTCCCACGTCAGGCTTCTTGCATGGAGCCTGCTTCTCACTCTGTCTGTGCCTCTGCCTCTATCTCTCTCTCTCTCTCTCTCTCTCTCTCTCTCTGTGTCTATCATGAATAAATAAATAACATCTTAAAAAAAATGCTGAGAGAAAAACTGTTAGCTTT